TTTTCAAATTTTATAGATATAGAAACAGTGTATATTCAAAGATTTGAATAACTTTTCGCAAAATATATAAATTAAAAGCTCGGTTAATTTATCATATTATAAATGATAAATTAACTTTTCTAAAATTTAAAGTTTTTTAATTTTATAGATATAGAAACAGTGTATATTCAATGATTTAAATAACTTTTCGCAAAATATATAAATTAAAAGCTCGGTTATTTTATCATATTATAAATGATATTTTATATCTTTTTACTTTAACTTCTTGCGCTGGAATGATGTGCCACGCACGTCGAGAATTTTTTCCTCCAAAATTGTAACATCTTCTCAGTTTGAAATATATTTAAGTAAAACAAAATAGGCAAAACAAATAATAAATTTATTACTTCTCAATGATTTCTATCCAGCGATATTATACCGACGAATTAAAAAAAAAAGCTACGAATTATTGTATACAGTCACTCGTTATGGTCCGCGATTAGTTGCCAGCGCAAGTGGTTAATATCTCCGATAGAAATTTCATGCTTTAGCCGCCGGTAATTCTAGTGTTAAAAAAAAAACATCTTTTCGTAATTTCCACGATTCTGCCTTTTTTTTTTTTTTTTGGTGCGTTAAACCACATTCTTCGAGAAAATGGGGATAGCAGGATCGATTCGTTGAAAGGATCAGAGTTACTGAATTGTTTCTTACGCGGCGATGATCGATACAGCTCGTGGAAGAATGATCGGTCTTGCGAAACCGATTCTCCGTTGCGTCACAAAGATAATAACGATTGCGCGGCGATGATTAAGCCGAGAAACGAGATCGTGGTAATTTCCAATGTGGAATAATGAAGTCCTTCTAGCAACGGGGTTTTCTCTTCCGAGATGAACTTTTATGGGAAAAGAGACATTGTAACCACCGACCGGTGTGCTTGTTAGCTCGCATTGAATCGCACAGGCTTTTTTATCCCGACTTTTATCTCACGCTACATTGAATTCGTTTCACGGCGTACGGAGAGAATTTTCATTCTTCGCCGGGCCCTTTTGTTTCACTTTATTTATTAAATTACTCGGTTTCAAGTAGTTTGATTGGTGCAGTCCAGTTGACAAATTCGAATCGATTGGTGCGATTGCTCGTCAGATCAGATTTATTCAACGCTGACGTGCGCTGGGTGATTGTTGAAACTAGGCCAAATTATGGCTGTTTCCTGAAGGAAGATGACGAAAATTGATAGTGGGAACTATTTTACGCTTGAACTGGATCCTCCGCCTCTATGTATCTAATCGTATTTTTCTTTTGAGCACATCAGCGCATCCGTTCTTCTTTTCGCGTTCTCTTTTTTTTTTTTTTTTTTTTTTTTTTTTTTTTTTTTTTTCTCCCTGTTCGTTTCTCTCTTTACACGGAACCGTATATACAGTGGCCTGTATCTAAAGGACAATGTTTGTATAGAATTTAACCTGTCAGTATATCTGTTTAAATAGCGATAACGTCACGTCATTTATCAGAGAGCGCACAATATGGTTTTTAAAGGACAGAAAACGTGAGAAACTGCAATAGTGTCGCATTTATTTACATAAGGAAGTTTAGGAATTTGTAAAAAAAAAAAAAAAATCTATAGTTATTGAATCAAATAACGGTAATTATAATTGTAGTTCGTGTACGGCAAAAGGTGACAAAGTAAATAAAAGTAAAGAAAGTCAGCAAAGAAAACACCATCAACTGTATCTCGTGTAAGAAGCTTTTTTGGGTTGTCTACATAGAAGAAGATCCGCGTTGATACTAGTTCAATAATCAATTTTTCATCGTAGTTTATTTGCTCTCTAAGCAATCCATTCGAAACTGTTGTTTTGTTGATGAACTGACCTATACTGCGTGTGCTAACAAATGTAACACGTGCTGTATCACTGCATCACAGTTTATTAGCATTCTATCCAATCGCTATTTCCTCAAAATAAATGTGTAAAATAAATGGTTAAAATTTTCCAAACGCAACACGAATCTCTGTGTCATTTTGTAATTATTCCTCCAAGTGTCATTTTGTAATTACTCCTCTGTCGATAAAGGAACAAAGAGATTTGCACAACAGTCTTCATCTCTATATTCGTCTATCTCTGTATGCTCCATTTCGAATCTTGTGGGACTCTCGATATCGTAATAATAGCTGCCCTCTCTGGCAGCATTCTCTTTTCGACACTGTCATCTTACAAACGACCTATTAAGGCTATCCTCGGCGGATAATTTTTTTTTAAAAATAATCCTTTGCGTAGTCACATCACGCTATGAGGACAGTGTTGTTGATCATGTGTTCTTTGAGGACTGGACGCAGCACCACGTGCAATCATTATCTCCCGGGGCCTATCAGGGCCGATAATTGCAAAGCGTAAACTCGCAACACCGCAGCTTGTCGTTTACTAGAGCGGCCAGGTGAAAGAGATGATGGATTTTCACGGTTGCATTCTATTAACGGAATATCCTTTCTGAGGCTATAACGGGAATACAATACGGCAGGAGCTAGAAAAATTTTTATGCCACCACGCTTTCAGTTTTTTCCTCTACGCTTTGCCGATCCTCGAACAATGCTTGCCTCACATGGGCGAAACGATAGACAAACACGTGTTCGATTAGAAAGCAAGCGCGCGAAGATTCTTTCGAGATTCACTTTTGAAAGAATTAGACAACGACTTGACACGTTCGATTGGTGGTAATTGCGTCTATTGGACACATTAACGAGCCATGTACATGCGTATGTAGATGTTTCAAGTTAGTTATCGTTTCCATTGGGAAAATAATTATGGAATGAGATATGTTTTGATTAATCTCTCGTCACTCATTTAGCATTTTCGAAGGGGCTATTCTGGTAATCCGGCTTGAAAATATCGACCTTTTAGAGATTTTTTTCTAAGGAAACCACGATACATTTTGATACGCAGTTTTCGCACACAGATTTATTCATACTTAAAGAGTATTTACAATGTTGTTTTTTAACGAAATTACTAAAAGTTGTGGAAATTGTATAGCCTTAGGTAAAGCATGTTTTTAAAAACGGGTTCGAATGGCTGACGTGATTCCGGTCCATTCTGGTTATTTGAAACTAAAGAACCGAAATGCATCTTAATTAGTATAAATGTGGCTATCGCACGAATCACGAAAGCAACGAAATTTCAAAAATTAAAAAAATGGCAGCACTTTGAAGTTTAAATATCGCCTTTCCTTGTGCTTTTTGTCTTTTGGGTGGTAAAAAGAAATAGAAAGAAACATCAGATTTTGAAATCCGTGGTTCATGCGATAAAGGTACATCCGGTGAAGATCCTCTTGCAAATTTCAAGTCAATCGGTCAACCGAAACGTGAGATATTCCGTCAGCCAGTTTAAAAAATATGGATTTGAGAAAGACACACTTGAAGTTTCTGTTACCTGTTGTATAAAAATATTCATAATTACGATCAATCGGGCAGTACAAAAAATAGAATATTATAAGATAATAATAATACAAAAATAAATAATAATATCAAAATAATAATAATATAAAAATAATATAAAATAATAATAATATAAAAATAAATAATATAAAATAATAATATAAAAATAAATAATAATATCATAAAATAAAATATTTTTTGAGAAAAACACATTTGAAGTTTTTATTACCCGTTGTACAAAAATATTCATACTTACAATCAATCGGGCAATACAAAAAATAGAGTATTATAAAATAATAATAATATAAAAATAAATAATAATATCATAAAATAAAATATTTTTTGAGAAAAGTACATTTGAAGTTTTTGTTACCCGTTGTACAAAAAATATTCATACTTACGTCGCGAACAGTACACCGTTTCCTTTAAACATCTACGACTTTGCTAATTTAACAAATTCAAACAAATCCTGTTACATAGATATTTTCGAAAGCATATATATTTTGAGAAAATGTATAAAAAAAGAAGTTGATTTTTTTAAGCCAGAATTATTACCAGAATTACCGCCTTAAAACGTTTCGTGACAGCGTTTGAAATTGAGAACTGTGGAAAAATGAAATTATTTCGTGTTTTTAATATCTATTTATATAAACTGGATCGCGTGGAGTATGACAGCGGTAGATAAATGATGCGACTTTATCTAATATTAGGAAATACACGGACTATTTTTGTATTTTGAGAGGGTCCTCTAGATAGAAAAATAATAAGCGAAATTCTCTGGAAATGTTTCGCCTAACAATGGCACTTTCCTTCATTCCTTCGTTTCGCGAAAAGTTGCTTCATAGTAATTGTTTCGAAATGTATGAACTCGAGAAAAATTATTCCAGCGTCAAAATAGCGCGGCTGCACGAATAGATAGTTTACAGAGACACGTGTTAATTTGCAAGATATCTCTTAAATAAATAACGTAGTGAAAGTGCTATAAAACACTTTCTTTCAGAGTCAGAATGTTTAACACACATTCGTTTAACATGGGTATAATTATACTTTTACTTCTGATTAAACTTTCACTGTGTCTTGCAATTTTTTTCGCCGAAAAATACACAGTGCTACCGATCAAAAAAAGATTTTGAAAGCAGTCGTCTCGAATCTGGTTCGTCGTTCAACTGAAATGTGTTAAAAAGCTCTGGTTCGTTACAGTACGGATAACATTTTCTTTTTTTTTTTTTTTTTTTTTTTTTCATCGCTTTTCAGCAACTGTTTGGTAATTCATGATTCTTCGTTTGCTCCCACGTCATCGTGACAATAATACTTTTTTCGTCGGCCATTTTATCATTCCGTTACGTAACTATTATTTTTCAACGATCCCTTCACGATATGCATTTTTATCTCATATCATCGCCGCGAACCTGGCACTCGATTACATAGCCAATTCATCGTTGCAACTAAAGTACATAAACCGAACCCCGCGATTTTAGATGTTTCTCTCAGAGCTTTCTTTGCTTGACCTGCCCGTTCGTTCTATTCACCCCTTAACGTCATTATCTCAATGCGCCGTAGACCATTAGTTATCAATGAAACTAATATCAATGAAATCTAGATGCGAGCTCGCTGTTGTTCGAGATCGAAGAACGTCAAAAATCCCGGCGTGTGTGTGCCCAATTTGACCAGTGGCGTTCAAGAAACTGACGATTGTCGAAAGTCACGCGATTTTGTCGATGTTCTTGTAATTTTTGTGACTACGATAATTAATTCGAGGAAATAATATCGGCGAGTATATCCGTGACTATTCGTTGTGATGTAATTAATACGAAGAAGGGAAAGGAGAAAAAGAATTCCCTCGAGTTTGTAAATTGAAGAAAGAAAAGAAAAATCGTGACTTTTCGTTGTTTGTTAAAAATTCGAGAAGAATACCGCGTGTATGAATTGTCGCGTGTGCTGTTCCGTGTAATATTGGCACGTGATAAAGGGATAAATAGACAAGTATATACGGAAGGTGATTTGTGTGAATACACGAGGGATAAATCGTCGGCGGACGGACCGAAGGGAGAGATCAGAGAGTGTGGACAAACGGAAAAGGATAACGGAGAAAAATGTTCAAGCTGGCTGGACGGCAAGAATGGGAGGCCTTGACGAAAGGTAAATGGCGTGGCCGTTTACGAACCGTTTTTTAACCTCTTGCGCTGAAATGACGTGCCACGCACGTCGACAATTTTTTTTGTGCCCCAAAAACTGCAACACTCCCTCCAATAGTCTTAAGTATGTTTAAGTATATAACTCGGGCAAAACGAGTGTAATAAATTTATTACTTATCAATCATTTCCATCCGGTAATATCGTACCGACGTGTTCGAAATGAAAGCGACGAATTATTGTGTACGGTTCGGTCACTCGTTACGGTCCGCAATCAGTTGCCAAGCGCAAGTGGTTGAACAATTATTCCACACGTGTACCCCTAACCCCTCGCCGGTTTGAATCGGTATTCCCGATTGTTGAAAGAATGTTGTCGGAAGTTAAAAATAAAAGGGAGACACGTGTTTCTCTTTTTATTCTCTCTCTCTGTCTCTCTCTCTCTCTCTCTCTTTCTCTCTCTTTGCTTAAGAATAAGAGACGGTGTTGCATGGATTTTTAAAAAGAATCTCTCTCCCCCTTCTCCTTCGTGACGGATTCTGGCACAACTTATGATGTTCGTGTACAGATCTGATTAATAATGTGCTTCTCACGACTCTCAATTTCGTAATTACAAACTTGGAAATGTTTAGTTTGCTCCGTTACTTCCGACACGCTCTACGAAATAAGGAAATTTCAAATAACAAGCGGCAAGGAGAAAGCCAATCCTCAAAATCAATGTTTTCGTTCATGTTGCAACGAGCGTTCTTTCTTTTCTCCTTGCAATGTTCTTTTCCAGAATATATTGCCCGATATTCACGATTATAATCTTTGATGTTTATAAGTTGATTTAATTAATTGTACTTGCAGAACAGAACGATGAGTTTTAACGAAACATTGAATAAGAAAAATATGAATCGAAACTGATCATTTGACATTGTTAAATTTTATTGAAACTGGCACCACGAGTGACAGATACTGTGACAATCAATTCGCTCGTAATCAACTACAACAATCACCAATTAACAATTTTATCGATTAATCAGTGCCATAGATAATAAAACGAGAAAACACAAATGATCGTCGAGCTGATAAAAATATTAAAATAGCTTTATTAAAAAAAAAGCATACGTATAATACGAGTCATTATTTCTAGGATTAATTAAAGTCAACCGATATCGATAATTTAATCAAACATACGTTGAATTTTATTTTCCCGCGAGAAAAAAAGTCGAACGACATTTTTCATCGAACGCCTATGTTTTTTTTTTTTTTTAAGTTGAATTTCTCTGTTCACTTATATCCAGTTCTATTTGCGATATTTTAATTTCAAATGCAATCCTTTGACCCGTATGTATCAAACCAATATTGGAACTGGTTTCTACCAGTCAAAAGGTGAAGAAAAAAAAAAAAATGTACCTTCCATATCACTTGCGTTTATAGAGGGTTAATCCTCGTATGTCATTGTAGAGCAAGTTAATTTTATATTGGTTACGACGACCTGTTTCATTCTGTGAATATTTAGAAAGAGGAAAAAAATATCGGCTACTGTGTGCATGGAGGAAAAAAAAAAAAAAGAAATAACTAAAAGTTCCCCGCGTGGGTCAAACGGTGATCCACGCAGGACGGAGCTTGTTAGAACCGTTAACTCGATCGTTCGTGTAAATCGAACGGGTAACGCAGCGCGCGCGGTTATTATTATTAAGGTCGATTATGTAACGTTCAGTAATCATATAGAGCATGAAAGAGTACTGGTTATTAATAACGTGGAAACAGTTTATCGAAAAAAAAGGAAACGTCGATATTTGGACGATGCGTTGGGAAACGAGCGCGAGAGCCGACAGTTTCTGAAAGGAAATTGCCACGCGCCTCTCCGCTATCCTCCGGTTAACTCCCCCTTCGTGGTTTCTGGTGATCGATCAGCATCGTGATATACAGGGTGATTTAAAGTGTGATAAAATATCTTTTTATTCCGATATTAACCTCTTGCGCTGGAATGACGTGCCACACACGTCGAGGACATTTGGCCCAAAATTGCAATGTTTTCTCAGTTTAGTATATTTAAGCATAACCCAGGCAAAATAAATAATAAATTTATTACTTCTTAGTAATTTCTAGTAACAGTAACATACCGATAAATTCAAAAAGAAGACGAGTTATTGTACGACGGGTTTGGTCACTCGTTATGGTCCGCGAACTAGTTACTAGCGCAAGAGGTTAAGTGCATTTCGAAAATATTTGGGCCCAAAATTGCAATGTTTTCTCAGTTTAGTATATTTAAGTATAACCCNAGGCAAAATAAATAATAAATTTATTACTTCTTAGTAATTTCTATCCAGTAACATACCAATAAATTCAAAAAGAAGACGAGTTATTGTACGACAAGTTTGGTCACTCGTTATGGTCCGTGAACTAGTTACTAGCGCAAGAGATTAATGCAACAATATTTCTTTATTATCTACGTACATAAAACAATTTTCGACCCAAGTTCTATTTTATATTTGAATATTTGTTTTATTATAAAAAATCCAAATGTGTAATTATAAATTAGATCTTCGATTTAACTCTTAACTCTTCGATTAAATTCATTGGATATACTGTTCGTTTGATGTATGTACAACTGAATATAGAAAATTGAAGGTCAATTATTCAGACATTTAATTTATTAGGACCAGATATTCTTATAATAATAAATAAATTACTCAGTTTATACTATGACTTCGATAATTGATCGTTTATGTCTTCACTTAGCAAATCGCTTTGCATTCCAATCGTGTTTAGCCGGATAATCGGGGATAATTCCTCTGCAATTAAGATTAAGTTAATTGTTTGATTAAATAAACAACATCGTTTTATAATCTGTAGATATGTATGTATAAATTATTATTGATTGGACAGGAAAGACGCAGTAGATTAAAGTCATTATAAATATGTTTAACAAACGCGTATCTGTCACATTTATCTGCTTACTTTTTATATAGATCTATCGTCTCTTATAATTTTGTCGTTCGATTTGAGACCAGAGGAATGTTTCTGCTAGAGTATCGTCTCGGTTGAAAGCGAGGAGTAATTCGGAGAATGTTCGTGAATATTTGGAATGCATGATATGATGCCACGTGGCAATAATGGTACAACTGTGATTACTCTGTGATTGCCCGTCTCTTTACGATTCATGTCATTTCTCTTAGAAATCAATAATTATTCATCGCAGAAATGTAAATTACATCTGAAGAAACTAAAGCTAGCCTTCCATTATTTTTCATTTCCTAATTAACGCCAAAAGCTTCTGGTTAATAAGTTGACCCAGTTAAGAGTAACCTCGCCCGGTTCATTGACTAATTGATTAATAGTTGAAAGGATATTTTAAGTCATGAATGAATTTTCAGGCGACCAAGTGAATTCGAGTGTCTAATAATCGCCTTTGAATCACCCGATATATATTGGCGGCGGCGTGCAGTGGAAGTGCGTTTTTATTTACTTTCTTAGGGGAGTAGCCAGGTCGATTCATGCGTTTCTCAGCCCTTATGTTGCCGGGGTCGAAAATCTCGTGGCCACTTGGGGAATGAATCACCACACCGCGGAAGTACGAAAAATCGATATTGCCCATACCGCGCGTTCTACGCTCGATTCAAGTAGAAGAAGTTCAGCAAGTTCATGTGGCACGACCTAAGATATCCACGATGGGCAGCCTTCTTATTCTTCTTTCTTTTTTTACCTCTTCACTTCTTGCTTTTCTCAGAAATACTCGACGCCACATGTGATCACACATATGGTATCTTTTCTTGTGCCTCGTAAGAAACTACCGAGTTTCGAAAAAAAATTTTCGAGTGTCTTTTCGAGTTTCATGTTCTTCTGGATTCTCCCCCCCGAGGAGTTGGAATGCAAGTGCCGGAAGTAAAGTAATTATTTTCGATGAAAACGAACGCGTTTCTGTTCTATTTCGTTCGCTTTGTCTTTATACGCGAATTTATATTGGAAGAGTAAGAATTTTTGATTGTATGCTTCTTAATCACGTCGTTCTACCATTTTTAATTCCTCGACTGTTAACACTTGCTCTGCTTCCTTTCTTTCGCTTAACGTTGCTCGTCATTCCCTTCTAAGAAAATCGTATAAAGAAAATCCAGTTTGATTCCCTGTAAAGGGGATCCGCTATAAATGATACATTCTTTTCCTTACAATGACTTTCATTGATTCACGATTAGACGCAGACCATCGAGGGTTAGCCTAAACTTTTGGGGAGTTGGAGTTTTTATTCTAATTGAATCGGATACATGGAACGAAACAGGTTGTCAGTTTCAGTCGTTTTTTGAATTGAAATTTTTACTTATCTCCTGTTCTTTCAATTTTAATGTACTGAAGAAGATGAAATCGTTTTTCTCTCGATATTTGTAGGTCTTTTCTTTTTTTTTTTAAATACTATTAATTTGCTTTTGTTATAGAATGAACAAAAAGTAGCACCTTTTGATTCTTATGAAAATTGAAGGCCAAAGTAAGGATAAATTGAATGAAATTGAGAACTTTCGGGAAAGTTTCAAATTTTGCAATACAATCGCGAGTAGAACACCACGTGACCTTTAAAGTAATTGCAACAAGACAGAAAAATATGAAATGCATCGCTTGTTCCTCTGGTCTTTTTTTTTTTCGTATTATGTTTTAAAGGTCATCTCGTATTCAACTTGCGATCCTCTCCTAACAGCGATGAAACTTTGAACTATTATATCTGAGTAAGGGTAAGTACTCACTAAGTATAGAATCTATGGTCACGTAATACCCTTCAGAATCCCTATTCATTTTTAAAAAAAAAAAAAAAAAAAAAAAAAACGCAGAACTAAAATACGTTGCAAGCCGAAGCAGAGAAATTTCGTAGTAACGACGCAAAGGAATTTAACAAAATTTTGAAACTTGGTTCTTGTGGAAATCGGAACGAGTAAATGTTGTTTCATTCATTTTTGACGTGAGAAATCACTCCAAAATGTAAATCCGGATGATCGGCAGCAGGTGTGTGGAAAATATGATAAGAACAGGTGATGGAGCATCGGTCGATCGATCGATTAACAAAAAAGGAACGTATCAGCAGAAAGTATTTATCCGTGGCGTGTCCCTGTTTTCAGATATACGGCTGCAGCTGAACGAGCAGCTGAGATGCCTCGACATCCGGATGGAGGCGCAAGTCGCCATCGTGGCGGAGCTTCAGGATTTTTTTCGAAGGAGAGCCGAGCTCGAGCTCGATTACAGCAAATCTCTCGACAAGTTGGCCAGAAGCATACAGCTCAGACACAAGGAGCAAAAACAAAAGTACGCATCTTGTCTTTCTTTGTGACCTGTTTCTCTTTTATCCATTCTCCGTGATCAATGATCTATAGAGCTTTTTTTCTGTTTCACGTATTCACGTTTTTTGGAAAAGTGCAATTTAATATTGTATCTTTGGACCATTTAATTATTTTCTTCTCTAGATACTTTTTTTTTTAGACGGTAGATTTTAAGAATGTACATTTGTAACAGACCGGTCAAATGTTTTACCTGTAAGTAAGCTAGCTAATGGCGAATAATTCGTAGACGAGAGCATTGGCCCCTATTCTCAAGTTACGCTTGCTGGCAGCAACTTATCAACGAGACCAAGTCCTTAAGCAGAGATCACGCGGCGCTTTCGGAAGTGTACAGCACGCATCTCGTCGGTCGTCTCAATCAGGTGATGGAGGATGTACAACGGATATACAAGCGTGTAAGTACAGGCTTGGTGGTACCGTCGTATCTACGTTGAGAAATGTAAAACGAGCTTGCGACTAATATTTAACACTAGAAACTACCAAGGTGGTCAAAATGGCCAGTTTATAATTTTCTATGGAAATTTTATAAATCTGTAACGGTATATATTTTTAGATGCTCGAGTGAGATGCTTCAATAAAATATATTAATAGAGGCTTGCGTTCTTTATTATTGTATTATTAACTTCTTCTTGCACCTTGAATGTTAATATTATATTTTAGTGGTCGGTAGTTCTAGTGTTCAAGTCAGCCAATCGGATATGCACAATCCAGCGCATAATCATTAAAAATGAACTGAACGGCCGTCCCAATCCAATTGATTTCAGTGCCGTGAAATAGGCTACGAGACGCACGAGGAGATCCTTCGAGTACTGGACGAGCTGCACACCACGATGAAAACGTACCAGACGTACCAGACAGGGTCACGGCAAGCGGAAACGAAGCTTCGTGTCGCGGAACAACAGCGCAGCAAGCTCGAGGTGGCGAACGCCCCGCCCGAGAAGCTCGCGCGCAGCAAGAAATACAAGCTCATGGAAAAGGAAGTGAACAAGGTGGGTTGGTGACGTGAAATCAAGGCCAAGCCGCCGTCTAGTACGCTCTCTCGCCCGTGTTTCTCCAGTCTCTCCAACGTTTTATCCTTCTCTCTCTCTCTCTCTCTCTTTCTCTTCTTTTTTTTTCCTTTCTCATTGCTTCTCTGACCCTGGCGAGGTCGAGTGTACTTCAAGACGCGCGAGTATCGATTTCCACCGTGTTCTTACGTGGAGGGTACGTGAACCGCTGGCTCTCTATGCATTCCCCTGCTGAATAAAGCACCGTTTCATTCATCTCCCTGTCAAAATTTCACGCCTCGCCATCAATTTCAGAGGAAAGATGATTTGTATAGGATAGCAGATAGATCGTTGGGGCGAAGTTGGACTTTTTTTGGAAATTTCATCGAGCACGAAGATTAATTCGAACGGGGAATATTTGTATGAGCAAGATATATTGAGAGTTGGAGGCTTACGCCATTAGTAAGCACATAACAATATTTTATACCGTTAGATGTTGTCAAAACATTTCTTCAGATTCAGATTATGTCACAGATGAGAATGTCACAGACAAAAATCAATTAAAAGCTATTAATAAAAATTGATTGAACTTACGTGTGAATTGCTCTTCATTTTGTTCAGAGGAAGGCCAAGTATCAAGAGGCAAAATTGAAGGCATTGAAAGCAAGAAACGAATACATTTTGTGTCTTGAGGCATCTAATACGACAATACACAAGTACTTCGTGGATGACCTTTCGGATCTCATCGATGTAAGTTCTAGTAATAAAAGAATAAAAATAGATTTTCTTGTCTCTGCAAAAATCAAAGTACTTAAATAAATGAAAAACAGAAATAATACCTGAAAATTATTCTTTTATTCGCCATATTTATTCTTCCAATGATAAACAAATTTTTTTAAAAATTACTGATCGATCTTAAACAATTATTATTGAATAGAAAATCAGTAAAATTAAGTCAGTTTTACCCAATAACATAGACCATTGTAACAAGCAATTCAAAGAAAATTTATTTCACACTACGCTACTGAACCTTTTTTACCCTATTTATTACAAAAAGGCAAAACTTTTATAATAAATATTCGAATGTACATTTGGCATAGGATCTGTGAACTAATTACAGTAACTTGAACGTTAAAAGAGCACTGAACGGGCTTCTTAATACCGTACACGTGACTCAATAGTGGGTCACTGAATCGGTTGAGTCAACTGAAAGTTCTAATCGCCTTTTCTAATTATTGCTAAATGATTGTTGAGTAAGGTGTATATAAATCTCCTTAAGAAAATTGTATTTACTCGTTCCAATAAAAATCTGATTATTGTTCATTTAGTCTTTCAAATTGCATTTCAATTGTATGAAAATTTACAATTTGATTAGGATTTTTAATATTTTTATAATAAAAGAAATTCATATATAATATATGAAACATTTTCTTCCTTTTATACATACTACGATGTATTAAGATATTTGACACTAAAGACATCTAAAAACTAAAGGTTCTTAATGATATTCTTTTAGTGTATGGATTTTGGATTTCATAACTGCATCGCCAGAGCATTGCTGATGCACTGTAGCGCGGAAGAAGGTAGGCAGCGTTCACTGCAATCTGGTGCTGAACAATTAGCTGCGTGTGTTGGTGCTCTAGACTCGAGGGCAGACAAACAGAGGTTTCTGGAATCTCATCATTCTGCTTTTATGATTCCTAAGAAGTTCGAATTCCAAGGACAACGAGGGGACGAAGTACTTGAAGTATGAAAATTGTTCTTCCTTTTAATCATCATTGATCACGTTTGAACAACTTAGATCATGAGAGAACAAGTTTATAATTGATTGTAATTTTTCTCTTTAATTAGCTGAATTATTCTAAGTTCATTCTTAGATCTATCCTACAAATCCTAACAACCGAAACATTAGTCTGTGTCTCATATGATAAATAATAAAAACGTGTTCAAATATCTTCAACTTTCATCGTGCTTTTAATACTAATTTATTTTTGAACTTATTTTTATTAGACTCCCGAACCGGAACTGCAAAAATTATTACACGCTGAGATGGAGCAAAGATTGGCTCAACTGCAACAAAGATTGACATCTCTGAGAACGGAATCCGAAGAAGTTTGGAAAACCTTGGAAACAGCGGAAGCTAGCCTATTGGAGATGTTAACCGCGAAAGACTACGATTGTTCCAGATATTTTGGAGAGAATGCTGTTCCGACCTCAAGACCACCAGAAACCGTGCAAATCAAGCTTAGAGCAGACAGACAGGAAACTGAAGAATTCTACCTCACGGTGAGTTTAACTGGTTAAAATAAATACTTAATCGGATGGAGTAAATGAAACATTGTTGTTTCAATCTTTGTTGTTTAGCTACCTATTACCAAACTTGCTGTGTAGTAACATTGGCTTGAAACATTTTCACAGAAATTCAGGGAATACCTTCTTGGAACTTCAAGAATAGCTAGGTTAGACGCAAAGCAAGAATATATTCGACAGAGCTTGTTGGATGGCTCTACCGCCAGCCCGAATCCATCAATATCAACAACGAAGCAAAAGCAAGCTCGAAGGAAACGAATCGGTAGACTACAGATAAACGGCCAGCCAAAGTTATTCGGTGGTTCGTTGGAAGAATATTTGGAAAGTACCAATCAAGAGATACCTTTAATCATGAAAAGTTGCATCAGAGTGATCAATCTATACGGTCTTCATCATCAAGGTATCTTCCGAGTCTCGGGCTCCCAGGTAGAAATTAACAATTTCCGGGAGTGGTTCGAAAGGGGAGAAGATCCACTGGCTGACGTTACTGACGCGTCGGATATTAACAGTGTAGCTGGTGTGTTGAAACTTTATTTGAGAGAATTGAGGGAACCACTGTTTCCTATCATTTACTTCGAACATCTGATGGAATTAGCACAACTAGAATCAAAGCAAGAGTTTGTTAACAAGATGAAGGAACTGATTTCCAGTCTTCCAAGACCAGTTGTTATAGTAATGCGATACTTGTTCGCTTTTCTTAATCAGTAAGTACGCTATCAATAGTTAATTAATTAAAATTTATAATAAGAATATTTAAATTAAGATTTAGAGAAAGAGAAGTTTGTTTTGTAGATTTTTTTGATATTTTGTACGTGTCTGTATCTGCTCGAAAAAATAACTATTAATAAATCTTTCTGAATTTTATTTAAAATTATTTTTCTTTTTTTATAAACAGTCTTTCAGAATTTTCGGATGAAAACATGATGGATCCCTACAACTTGGCAATTTGCTTTGGCCCCACCTTGGTACCTGTTCCAGAAGACAAGGACCAGGTACAATACCAGAACCAAGTGAACGAACTCATCAAGAATATTATCACTTTCTGTGAAGAAATATTCCCAGAAGATATTGGAGGTACTCAATATGAAAAATACATCAGTAGAGAACCTGATGACGTGTAAGTATATTTTTTCTTATATTGAAAAAATTTATCCATATTCAGATTTTTCATAAAAATGAATTTTAAATGCAGAGACGTAGGAGATTCACCGACAGAGCAGGTCCAGGAAGACATGGACTCAGAAGTGTATCCATCTGAGGATGGTGAGTGAGATTAGATATATAGTTGTATAGTTGCTCGGAATCCAATAGCACGATCTACGTTCGTTTTGTGATTCCCAGAATCGGAAAACCTTGAGGCCACAGCACAATTCGATTTCAATGCAAGGTCCGAAAGAGAGTTAAGCTTCAAAAAGGGAGATACCTTGACTCTATACACACAAGTCAGTAATGACTGGTGGCGAGGTGCCTTGGCCGGTAGAGAGGGGCTTATTCCCGATAAATATATTATGATCAAGATAAAGTAAGTGCGACTTAATCACGCAGTGGCGAATTATTTCCTTCGAGAATGCCTTCTGTTGAACCTAGTGGCTGAATTTAGCAATTCTAAAGGGAATGAAATTTGGGTAAATTCGAGTAAATGCTTGCATTTTAACATAAAAGAGATAGCTTCTTTAGATTTCGCTGTTTGAGATGTTTCTTTAATTTAATTTATTCTCGATGAATGAATCTTCTTTTCTTATTAATTCTTTTCATGTGGACATTTAATTTCTTATGTGATCATTGTTTATGAAAATATGACTTCCTCAACATAGGATATGTGACTTCTTAGAAAAGAATTAAATATGGAGTAAGAAATCATGGAGATTTTTTTAATTTGAAGAAAATTTCTCCGCAGTCATCAGTTTTATTACTTGTGAATTGTTGATCACTTTCACACTATTATTCAGCAAAGTCATGTATCCAACAGCCACGTAAATGGTTCAAAAATGTTTACAAGCCTCTTGGGGTAGGTAGAATACAAAAGTAAACACTCCTTAACATATTGATGAACTGACCATGATTCCGCTTATTTTAACGTATTCATATTTGTACTTTATAAAACAAATAATATTATTTAAATGCTTCAGTGATTTTAATTTAAGCGCTTAGTAATTACCATCATTCTCATAACATTAACAATAAATTATTCGATTCATAGCGGCACCATTCAAATGCTTGTAATCTCCTCGATAACAATATATATTGCGGAGAAATTTTTCTAACATTGTTTTTACGATTTTTAGGTTCGTTAGACTTGCGTTGAAATTTATTATAATTCATTGCACAATTCTTCCAGATGTGAAAGATCTTTTGATAGATCCACAGGATTATTTGTCACGCAGTTTTGCTTGCTTATTCCCTCACATAATTTCATTTTATAAAAAGACACTTGTTATATCCTTTGTCCAGGGACGAAGAACGTGAAAAAGAACTCCTGAAGTCGTCGAGTGAAGAATCAATGCGAAGAAGGACCTCGAGCTCTGCCGACAGTGTTCTTTCGAGTAACAATTCACCACTAATGGGACCGTCTGGAAATTCAACAACTTGGCCCTCTAATTCCGCGACCGATGTGCAGTCAGCCACAAATATAATCGCAACAGACAATAGCAGTAACAGTGGTGTTATCCCAGCGGTCGTGACAAATGCCCCTTGCATCTCGTCAGCACAACCGATCATCAGTCGAGAGGTACTGGAAACTACCGTTTAGTATCAGTATATCTGTCCGATTTTTTTTTCTTTTTTTTTTTCTTTTTTTTTTTTCTTTCCATATGTCCGTCTGCTTGTACATTTTCTGCGGCGCACTCGGAAGATTTTTGAACTTTAAGCACAAGTGCATGGCTGTTGTGCTGTAATTCGTTTTCCTTAAGTGCAGTAGCAGCAAAAGATTGGAATGCACATTACCGTTTAAGATGCAGACTTGTTGCCTACACACCATACACATTTAATAGAAAAGCAGCATTGCTTTATTCCGTGGGAACAGAAAATCTGTTCTGTTTGTTTGAGTCGATATAAGATTATAAATCATAAAAATAAATTTTCTTTTATATTTGAGAAAAAGAGTCGAATTTTTTCCTTGGGTTCATGATCTGTGATCTTTTGAGATTCGAAGAATTTGAATCACAGTATAATAAGCTCCTAAAATGGGTGACATGTACCTAAGCTATTGTTAAGTTTAATTTACTTCGAAATAGTACTATCTCAATTAGCTGTAATCATTTGTACGATATATATTTGTAAATAAAATAGAAATATATACATGTTTGTTGCTGCATGTGCCTTTGATCTCTTTGTCTTGTGTCCTTTTTGTTGTCTTGCGTCATGTATATTTTTTTTTCCATTTTTTTGTAATGATGATGACTTTCGATGTTAATAGTTGGGATGGTTTTTCCAGATATACGTTTAGTCAGCCTTTAGTTGACAAGAAAAGTTTCACGTACATAGGTAGTGGGCGAAACGGACTAAAAACTGTTCGATAAAACTGCTGCCAAGTGTCGTGTGGTTCTGTCATTTGTGTTTTTCGTTTCGTTGAAGGAGTGCCTCTGATTAACAGTTCAGTTGGTTTGTGAATCCTAGCATTCTGTAAAACAATTTCAGTCTGTAGATGAAACCAAAATGGAATGCTACTCGCAGAGCCTACTTTTCCAGTGGATATTCTTTTGGCTTTAGGTGAGTAAACAAACGTCTCACCCACCCAGATCAGTTAATAATTAACTTCGTCGTTGGCATCTGTAGACAGATAGGTATCAATACAAGGCTGTTGTCACGTTTACATGTTTGCCTGCTTGTATTCATCCTACTCATTGTCAGTTTTACGAGCAGTTTTTAATTCTACCTTGGTATGAATATCGTTCTTATGCACTTGTGTTTATTCCATATTAATGCATGCAGATATCCAATTTAATTATTTATATAAGTATTATATCTTTATATTTCTGTACACATTTAAAGCTTGCAGATTACTTTAGACAAATTTAAGGTGTATTCTAAATTAGAAATTTGATTTCAATTGTTATCAAATATATTATATTTACGCTTCTTTATAAGTGTACGCTTGTAGTTACATTTCTTTCTAATTCTCTATAATAGAAGACAGTGAATATTACTAAGATTAAATTCAACAAGTTTGAAGATCATTTCATGAAATCTATTAAAAATGATCATCTAAATTAGAATACATCTCTGATTATTATTTGCTGTACTATAATTTTACCTTTCCTTTCCTTTTTATAATATGTGTCACTATTTTAGAGAAAATGAACGATTTTCTGTGTTAATTACTATCTATTTGGGATTTAATCAATGATTGTTTTATTATGTTTAAATATTTTGTTCAATTAAGAAGTAGTAAGTTTTTACTGTAACTATTTATAAATTATCAAATACAAATTGTAGCCACTTACTATTACGCAAGTAAAAATAATCTGTAACAAAATTCCAGGGCGCTACAATAACAACACAGAAAATAATTTACATTTCATTGCAACGTGGTTGGTAATTTGGAGAGAATCACTAGTTTTCCATTCACTACGTAACAAGACATTTCATCATAAATCGCTTTCTGAAACGTGTACGTTACAATGTATAATAATTTCACATTATTCAATTATTTTCAGCAATGTGCACCTCGTGTGGCAAAGGTGTCAACACCAGAAAAAGAGAAGCATGCCTTCGTTTCTGATCATCGTGCAGACACAACACCAGTCATTATCAGTAATAACGCCGAAGGTGAGAAGATATCGGACTTCAGTGACTCGTTACAACAACAACGCAACGAAGACGCTGGTGAAGAAGCAGAACGCATCTCTTTGATAAATTTGGATGGCGGATCAAAGCGTGGAACAAGCAGGAAGCAACACTGGAAATCCCAAAGTGTGGGTGATACTGTGCAGCAGACAGCGAATTCTCTCCAAACAAGCACCGTTTCTCAAGAAGAGGAATCTCAGGAACAGCCGACGTTTTCAGCGAATCGAGAACTTTGGCAGAGACGAGCGACGTCGCAAACGCAATTGAATCCACCCGCGCCTCCTAACCATAATAAGATTTTTCGTACCTCCCAGGAGTTCCGCGAGATGCGTCAGAAACACACACCGGATTTGGTAATGGATCTGCCTTTGTCGGCACAGGATGCAAGTAAGAAGTCTGCTTCGTCGAGCAGTCTGAGCAGCTCTGATGAAGAGACTCCCACTCAGCCAACTCGTGCTGAGGCAGCTACGTCGCCAACAGGTGGTCCCGAGTCCCCCGACATGAGTACCGCTGCAGAACGATTTGCTAAACAAAACCAATGCACTCTGAAGAAAAATACCAAGTCGAATTCCGACGCGTCGAAGTTGAAACGTATGGAAACCGAGCATGACCCCGAACAAGAGTCGGAAGAGATTGTCAGGTCGACGAGTTCTAATCAGATATCGGACTCAGTGCCTCTGAGATCACCTCTTCCACCGCGTTCGACGCCCAAAATAATAGCGAAATTTGCAGACATGCATCTGACAGGCGGCAGCCAGGTGTCCTCGTTCAAACCACAGATAAAAGTGAAGCCGACGATTCTTAAAAAACCGGTGTTGCCATTCCCACATCCGCACATGAGCCCCGAGCTCGCGAGGAAAATCGAGAAGCAAGCGCAGAGCGCCGAACAAACCAATTAATTGCTACCCAGGGTATTACAGAGAAATTTTTAGCAGCGAGAGAATATTTATTTTCAGCAATTCACGCGTGTTTGGACACAAGGTTTTCAGACGCGTACATTTGCCACTGACTTTTCCATTGACCAGTTACTCCGCCCAAATCGCAAGGATATGAAGTGTGTTAGTTATTATACCCAAAAGAAAAAGAAAAAAGGAAAGCCGGACAGTATCGTTCCTTAATATGAAACGGAACACGAGAATTTAGTTTGAACCAGTGAACGTTGCGTATTGGAAGGTCTGATGCTGTCCTCGGGCCGAGTTTATTTTTTCTACTACTATTTTCCATTTTCGCATAATTTTTTTACCAAATGACCCGCGAAACGATGTTTCTAGTCATCGAACGACGATTGAGAAACGATGCGAGAAATGTATGAGCGAGAAAATACATCGAAAAAGAACAAAAAAACGTAAAAAAAAAAGTATATATATATAATTTCGAGATTAAGTAAATTTTTCGTAGAGAGAAACAGCGAGAGAGAGTGCGAACGAGAGAGCGAGAGAGAGAGAGAGAGAGAGAGAGAGAGAAAAAACAAGATGATTTTGTACGTTGGACAATTTGTAATTTATTGCAAGGACTATTTCTTCTCAACGTGTTGTCGGTATAATGTTTGCAACAAACGTGTTTGATGTTCCTTTAAAAAAAAAAAATGCACGCGAATAAGTATAAGTTTTAAACAAAGCAAAAAAAAAGTCGAAGCCTTTTTTAGGAATTTGTTTTTTAAGGAGAGTGAGTGAGATAATCTCGAGATTCTAATCCCGAGTTATTATTATTATTACGATTATTATTATCATTAAACATTATTAACATGTCTTACGGACGTCTTTAAGAATTATACGACAATGATGTTCGATATATTCGAGAATAATAAGTGTACAATAATGCACGAGTATTTAAACAATTCGACGTCAGTTTTAGACATGTATCAATTATTCTACTATGGCAAAAAAAGAAAAAAAAAATTCAACGAAATCAGAAGAAAGCGATGTAACACCTTGACGTATTCATGCCCCTCGCCCCTGTAACCAATTTAAAGAGAAAAAAAAAGAGAAAAAAAAAAGAAAAATCGAAAAAAAAATCATTGTACTCGTTTATCGAAATAATATACATACAGTATGCCTGGTACTACGTGCAAGCATTCTACGAATTATACTTTGAGTGGAAAACCAATCTGGGACGCGCTGTAAACTATCGCGATCCATGAAGCAATGAGTAATGAAAATTCAATTAAGATTGACTAATATAATACTCTTTATAGTTACTGATCAAATATTAGTACGAAATATTATCACATTATACCCACCGCAATAAGAAAAATACCAAAATCAATGGATTATTATACTCCCTCCCCCCATTTTTCCGATTGTATCATATTTGTTGAACAAACAAAAGGCTACGATTTGAATTTTCTTAACGATCTTTCATTTTATGTATGTATGTATATATATGTATATTTACATATATACATAAACATATATATATATACACACACATATAGTTCATGCACAGTGAGAGTTGCGCTTTTACAATAGTTTTCTTTTCTGTAATTGTTCTCACGTTGAATTGTTAACTCCATGAGGATTCAATGTAATTTGACGTGTAATTTAATATTGTTACGTATTTATGTCGATTTTCTCTATCGTACAGATACGGAAGCCTAATTTGAACTATTTTTCCGTTATTGATATTAACTTCAATAAAGAAACTTGCAGGCTGTATTGACCTTTTCAACAACAAAACCTGATCATATTCCCAAGTTTGCATTTGCATCGGTTTTGCACGTGTTGGTGGTAAGTAATTTTGTAGTTTATTGTTTCTTTCATTAGAGGAGTAGAAATTTTATATTTATAATAAAGTTGAATTACAATTACATTTATTAAAACAAGATTTGTGTGACACTATGAAATAAACTCGATGTGTCCATATAATTTCAATGACAATGAAAAATAAATGAATAAATAATATGATCGATATTCTTTTTTGGATATAAGTACTTTTGGTCTTACTAAAAAGCATAATTTTTTCAGTATTACGGTTAATATACGGTTGTAGATGTATGTTTATTACGCTTATAGAGCGTTAGATTTAAATTTTTATCAGTACGAACAACGATCATCGAAAATGACGTGAGATAAAAATATTTATAAAATGAAATATATAGAAATACAGGAACAAAGTCGTTCGTTTTCAGCAGATCTTGTACAAATCTGCACATTGAATGTGATAGCTTAAATGAATGCTTGTATGAATTTTTTTTCGCTAAATGCGAAATTATTATTTATAAACGCGCGAAATTCAAATCGTAGATTCATGCCTAATTCGAATATATAGATAAACACAACTGATAAATCAGCTGATGTCAGCTGTTGTTCATTGGTATATATATTGGCACCTGTAACGGTAAAACGGTAAAAATGCCATTGTGTTCTACGCGTATGTATGTTTATTAATTTTAAAAGAATTCCTCGGCAAATCGCGTCTTGGATATTAATAATTCACGTTGACGTACTTTTATCAAATTCAATTGTTTCGTTTTTGTGCACGCCTCGGTTTTCTAAAGAAAAATGTGGTTAGTTTTTAATAATTATCACAGCTTATTATATTGTTTACAAATTGAAAAACCGAAGGAACCATTGAAAATACAATGTTGATCGTTATGTTTCACAACTTTGAAAATAACGCATTGACTGGTCAAATAAATATCATCTTTAACCAGATCCTATGAACAAATTCGTTTGTGCCATTTGAAATTTATTCCAGTGTGATAATTTCAATGCTAGTAAATAATAAAGATTTTCAGACATGGAAATTGATGAAATAACAAAAGACATTTTTGGACCAGATGTGTTAGAATCTACCGATGAAAGATCTAGCAAGAAAAGTAAACACTCTTCAAGGTATTTTTATTATTTGACTTTTCTTATTTCTGCGCTAATCTAACACTACGTATATTAATTTTTTAAATACATCTATTAACATTTTAGAGTAGCTCATACTTTAGAATTAATAAATAAGTACATTGAAAGTACTTTTTCAAAAGATGCTCCAGAAATAAATGTGAAAGATAATAGAATTGGCAGAATTGGACAAAATATTGTCCAATTTGATATGACAGCACGAACAGGAATTGTTTCAATCTCTTCTGATAAACTTTGTGTTACTAGCAGAAGTAATTTTAGCACAATAAGAGCAAATACAGCTGTATATCAAGGAAAGTGGATGTACGAAGTTCAACTTAAGTCCAAAGGTCTCATGCAAATTGGTTGGAGTACAATTAACTGTAAATTTACTCTAGAATCTGGAGTTGGTGCGTTGGTATTTCTGATAATATATTTTAACAATTTAGTTCTATTTCATAAAATGTGATTTTATTAGGGGATACTATTCATTCATATGCTTATGATGGAGACCGCATTAAAAAATGGAATTTGTCTTCATATTCATATGGAGAAGAATGGCAATTAGGAGATATTATTGGATGTGCATTAGATTTAGATAATGGAAATGTTAATTTTTATAGAAATGGTAAACATCTTGGACTAGCTTTTGAGAATATATCGAGGGGCGTTGGTTTTGCATACTTCCCAACAGTAAGCCTTGCATTATCAGAAATTTTAAGAGCTAATTTTGGATCTACACCAATACACCATCCTTTAGAAGGATATGAACCATTACAAGCGATTCCAGAACAAAAAATACATCAAGCTGTACTTTTGTTCAAATGGTTTTCGAAAATAATAGAACAAATAAATACAATTCAAAATACAAGACAAAATGTGAACAAAGAGAATATAAGCAAAGAAAAACTACATGATGATAGTATGAAAGTACAGAGCTATTTAATGTGTCTTTCAAATTGTATTTTAAAACGTATAGGACCTTTAATTTCAATACCATATATTACAGAACATATTGTAATTTCTTTCATACAATGTCTTTCTGAATCAGGAAATTCTTCATTATTAACTTGTTTAGATCTATTATGGATATTTCTTGAAGAGCATGAACTCAAAATGTGTTTAGAAGCTATCATTATTTACTCACTGTCTACAGACAGACATGTATCTTGTTTAATTGAATATTTTAATCAATATAAAAGCTTGCTTCTTCTAACAAATATTTGTCAACATACATCAACGCGCCAGTATTTACTAGAACATTTGTTCTTTACTCAAGTAAGATTGCCAAATTTGATGAATATTAAACCACCAAACAAAAAAGGACTGACTGACATAATTAGTGATATATGGTGGGAAACAAATCCTGTAGATTTAACGGTTGAAGTTAATAAAGAAAGTTATTTCAAAGCATGTCAACAAATAAAAACTACAATTTCCGGTACAGTTAATTTCAAGTATTATTACTATCCAGTTTTTTGTTTTTGTACTTATAATCTATATTTTGTAGAATTAGAAGCATTACAAGTAAAATTTTTAATAATTCTTCTTGATAATTCTGATGGTGATGAAACAAAACCAACTTCAAGAACTTTATTTTTAAGAAAATTCAAGCAGTATTTTTCTAGAATAAACAGTGTAAGTAGAATATTTTTGAATTTCCAATAATTGTGCTATTTTGTGTAGCATTTTGTTTTTTGTCAGTATTTCTACAAATAATAATCAATAATTTTAGACTTTGGAACCCATTGTCGTTGATCTTACTTATCGACTTCTGGTCGCGTTAAAAATTTTGTGTGATACCGAGGTTGGAACATCACCTGTTTATGTGCCTTGCAGGTAAGCTTTATACAATACATTTTTAATATCTAATAACATCTTTTTATATATTGAAATGAGCAGGGTATTTTATGATGGATCTATCGACTACACCAGATTTGAAAGACTGGGAGGTTTAGCGTCTCATTTGAGTAAGAAGTATAAAGAGGACCTAATACAATTGTTAGGGCACGAACATGAAGTAATTACAATGGAACAAGCAGCTAATTCATATAGCACGACAGCCGTTCGAATTAACATGAATTCAAATCAAGGAAGATCGATTGCCCTTAATGCAACACCATTATCTATGAACACTATAAATTCATCTTTACTTGAATTGCTTGATACCATTATCTCATTTTACAATAGAGTAATAAAGAACTCATTGGTGAGAGCGGCGCAACTTAGAAATAACATGTTAAAATATAATTCTGTTAGTCAAAACTTAAAGAGACAACTAGAAGAAATTAAAAGAAAGGAGGAGTTCAGATCTCCGTCAATTGAACAAGAATTACTGAGATTAATCAATATTTTCAATGCTAAGTTGAAAAACCAGGGAAGATATATGGCGTGGATTCGTACTACTATTTATTCAGAAGAAAAACAATTACATCTAACATGGCTTCTAAAAATAGTCATGTTAACTTTGACGAATGCCAACTTAGAAGGAAATATGTTTAGTTTTGTTCCAGAATTTTATTTGCAGACATTAGCTGAGTTGTGCGTCAGTTTGCGAAATTACATGCATCCAACGACACGTATTGATAAAATTCCAGATTATCAAGAAGTATTTTTAAATATAGCTAACTTTCTTTGCCATCATTTCATGGATTTCCGTATGGTAAACGTGGAGTGTCAGAACATGTTACTTTTAATGTTAGCTGGATTCATATTTAATCCATTTACATTAGAAGCTATGGAAAATGTGCCGGAAGAAAGTCGAGTAAAGCTTGTCACAAACTTAGTGAAATCATTTGGAAAGAGAGTATGGGCTGAGTCAAATTGGATTTTAGTCAGATTCTGGCAAGGTAATGGCTTTGCCTTTCGATATGAAAGAAGCCCGCATCTTCGGAAAAGAATTAAACTGAGATCAGTTGAACAAGAAACAATGTCACAACCTAGAAGTACGTAATTTTTGTTTTCAGTAAATGTTTTAAAAATTAGACGATCAGCAAGCTTACTGCTCTCCGTTCTTTAGAACCATGTCCATCCGCTGTATATCAAGGCCATTTAAGAGATATATTAGTGAAAAATCGTCAAGAAACGACAGTGTTCTTGAATTGTATAATGAATCTACTGAACTGGAGTTTCTCCGAATTTATTGGAATGATTCAAGAAATTTATAATATTTCATCAAGGCCAGAAAAAGTTTACATGCAACCTAAACAGTTAAAAGTTTGCGTCACATGTTTCGATTTAACGATTTCGCTGTTGAGAGTTTTGGAAATGATCATTACACTGGTTCCAGATATCTTCGATAATTCACAGTTTTTCAGAGAAAATCTGTTGTTTAGATTGTGCCAAGTATATGTTGTTAATATTTTCATATCTTATTTAATATACAATTATCATTACATTTCTTTCTTTTTTTTTCATTTTTAGTTACTTTGTCAAGTTTTAAATAGGATCAGCTCATACACTAGCTGTTTTATAAATGTTATGTTATTGGAAATACCATATTTAGATGAAGTGGATCACTTTCCAATATTAACTGCAGTTATAGGTGTTTTTTTGGCATTACTCAATGAAGATATGATCAATTATAAATGTAAGTATCATTTCTAATTATGGCATGAAAAAGATGTAATCAGAATTCAATATAAGAAGAATATGAATTTTATTAGTAAAAACCGTGACAGAAGTACCAAAGATTACTCAAACCTTATTATTAGAATCGAATTTTCAAATGAGCACCTTGCGTTTTACATTAGGAGATTCAACAGATGAAAAGAAGCAAAAAAAAATACAGTTTTCCTTTTTAGATTGTAAGTACAAAATAAGTATATAATGTAATATATAAAATGTTAGCACATACGTTTTCCTATGTTTGACTTTTGTAGATACAAATGACGTAACAGAAGAAGAAATTAAAAAAGTGAAAGATATGATTGAATACTTAGACGAGTGTCTTGCCATTTTACCAAAGCCAAAAATTTCGAGCGACAATACTGATATTTGCACTATATGTTATGCACAACCTATAACAGTAACTTTTAAACCTTGCAATCATCAAACGTGTCGTACTTGTATCGAGAGACACCTCTTAAACAGCAAATCATGCTTTTTTTGTAAAAAAGAAATTTTAAAAGTCATAAATTCTGATGATGATGTGATACATAACTTTAACGACTCGGATGAAAATATGTCCTCGTGAAATCGTATTAATGCCATAACATAATCGTGGGAAAAATTATAAAAATAAATTTCTTGTAAAAACTATGAAAAAAAAAGTAAACAAATGTTGTATAAAATGTTGCATAAAATTTTATTTGTTTAATATTATTGTTTATTACTCTGTCTTAAAAAGTTTATAAATGCAGTATAAAAATAAAAGATTATAAATTTTAGTCTTTATACAGATTTCCTGCCATAATATAACAAACATAATATTAAATTTGTATATGCATCAGTCTTTATCAATTTCCTATTACAATTAAAAGAATGTATCAGAATATGATTATTAAAATATTTATCTAAATCACAACAGTTGTAGATCACAGGATATAATGAGCGAGTTATTGTAAGGCCATTCATAAAAGTTATATTCTTTTGCTTATCGATGATTTACGAAAAATTTTCTTAAGTGAAAATTTCTTCTTTTTTATAACATTCAAATTAATATTAAGTACATAAATTTTCTTTCAACTGTCTAAAACCAGTTATTAATGAAGTTTTGTTAGGCTTCACACTTAAATCCTCTATTGCTTCTATAAATACAACACCAAATATAAATGCACCAAGTGCAGTGATAAAAATTGCAAAAAAAACTAGTAGTCGATCTTTGTTTAAATGTAATTCTGAATCTTTCAAAATTATACACTGGAATAGACATATGCCCGGAAAGATAAAAATGAAAGCTGCCGACAGTGCTCCCAACAGATTAATAACTGGCGAAATATCTGGTACCAGTACCGCAATTATTAAAGATAGTATGTACCAGATCAATGTAACAAAAACTCTAAATTTAATACAATTATTGTCCATTCCCAAAAGACTTAGAAAAGCATCACGACCACAATATAAGACAATCGGATATGTAGTAAAATTTTTGATTGCTATGAAGATAATGCCCAAAGTCAGAATTATGCTTTTCTCTGTATAGCCTTGAAGAATATCACTGGGCACTTTCCCAGCACCAAATGTCGCATATCCAAAAATACCAACTGCTGTATAGGCAGTAAAACAAATAATCATGCTTACTATGGCACATAATGTAAATTTTCTAAGTTTACGTTCTTTCATACAAGCGTACATTGGTATTGCTGTCATGTGACTCTGTAAATAGCAAAATCATTTATGAAAGTAAGGCAAAAGATTAAAAACTAACAATATTGAAGTACCTGGTATGCAAAACAAATTATTGGAATTATTTGAAGTGCCTCATATTCATTGTCTGGCCATATCTTCATGGAATTAATGGGTGGTTCAGTATTTGTAAAATATTTATAGACTATCAATGTTATAATGTATAAAATAGTTACACAACCAACGGAACTGGCATAACTGAGAACATCCAATTTTTTAAAAAAACACAGAGGAAGTATAAATAAACTACATGTTACAGTTGTGACAAATGGTCTAGACATGTACCTGGAATAATAAAATTAAGAAAATAATAATAATAACAATAGAAATATACTTTGCCAATGTATACTCTTATTTACCATGTATGACAATAATCAAGTCCATAGTATGTTACCAGAACTCTATCGAACTGATCGCCAACAACTATCAAAAATGTCAAGCAACATCCAAAGCTGTATATCATGATACAAAAGGCACATAGGAAATGTGACTTTTGCCCACAAAAATTAGCGAACATATCTTGCATAGTAGAGCTATTCGCAACATCACTGCAACTGGCTAGAATTACAAGTGCAGCAGTAATGAAGATCAATGCTATAAACTGCATAGTAACAGAAGTGAACAATCCTCCAGCTTTATCGAATGCTTGAGGAAAATTTAAAAGACCAGCTCCTAAAGTGGCATTCACAATTAAAAAGATTGTACTTAATACACTGGTTCCTGCAAATATCACAAATAAATCAGAATGAATTACGCAAAACATATGTCATGTTTTATTCAATTTATTATCAGACATTGTTTTAGAGTAAATAACAACAACAAAAAATTGGGATAATGCATATTAAAAATTGGAAGAATGAATTATTGATATTTATTTGCAATCATATTCATTGAAAACGTCATAAGTGACTACAGAACAGTAAACAAAGTACCTGATCGAGTGTTTTGAGAATTATGAATAGATGAAGGACTTGGTGCAGTGCATAATAACATATCATTGCTAATGAGCTGTTCCGTGTCCTCTATTAAACAATTCATGCTGATGATCACAGTTTAAACGATTACTTCTGACTGATAATCTGTCCAGGTTTATAACTGGGACAATGCATTTGTTCGAGAAAAAAGAGAATTTATCTGTATTTATGATTTGACATTTAGATCAAAGGTCATTGCAAAATAAAATTATGCAGAGTTTGTTATTTCAATCGGGACAATTAACAACATTGTTATTCTAAGAAATATATTGTATGTAAATAAATTCAGTTGCGCCACTGACTACAGACAAAATAGACCTCGTGTGCAATATTTTATGCGATTTATAGAGGCCCTCTTATCTTTTTCGTATCACATACAACATACGACGTTATCTATCTATATTCAGCAAAATAAAGATTCGCAAAAACTACAATTTTCGAATATGTAGCTTGCGAACAATTAGATATTACATATTTGAGCTAAAGAGAGTGCTTCGATCTATTGACCAGAATATCTCTAACTCTTTATGTATGAATTTCCTAGATTAAAAAAAAGGATAATAGACAAATTGATGATCTAATTCAGGAAGAAACAATAGCAAAAATTCCTCCTAACTCAGGAAGAAACAATAGCAACAATTAATCCTATTAATTAGTTTTTTTTTACAAATGGAAATTTAGTCCATTTATGAACCCGTGGCGGCGCGAGTATTTAAAAAAGCGAATTTTACAGTGATATTGTATTCTCAGTTGTTAAGAATCGACCAAAGTAAACGGTCGTCATAAAGACGACCTTCTTATATATAAATTAAAATAAATAATTATAGTTTCCTGTTCTGCATGCATCTTGTCTTGTCATCTCTCAACTCCAACTGGAACTAAAAGAATAAACCCGAAAAATCCGATGGATGACAGTACATGATTTATTTTGCTAAATAGAATTCTAGACAGATTCGATAGATAGCAATATTTGAACTATCGTCAATAGACAAAGAGCATGATAATGGACACCAGAGACAAATACGTTACTGTTGTGACAGAGAAGACAATAGAATGCCATAAACATAGTAATGGCGATTAGTTTCATCGTTCCATCGCTACACGGCGCTAGCATTTTATGGTCCATGATTGCACTTTGCAACTTTTATTTATAAAAAAAAAACTAATTAAGGAGATTAATTTTTCAACTTTTTCAACAATTTCTTCCAAATTAAATTCTCAGTTTTTGTTCTATATCTCTCTATATATAAAATGCATGTATAAAAGTTCAGAAATTCTGTTCAATAAATCCAAATTCAAATATAAAATATTGAATTTTTTGCAAGCTGTATTGAAAATTTGGATCAAAATTATTCATGAATATAATTAGAAGTATAAATGATAGATTCTACATTCAATTGTACATATGAATCTTTATTTAATTGATTATTTATTAACAATTGATTTGGTAAAAAATTATTTTGTTAATATATCTATAGTAGGAACAAAATCAATAACAACAATATGGAAAAAATTCTTTATAGTCTTAAAGTCTTTATTATTAGTCTATTATGCATATGTATAGATGATTCTTAATATTAAAAATCATTATATAATTACTGAAATTTTATGTATGTACATGTGATCATAAATAAATATGATTGAATATGTATATGATTATTTATATGTAAAATTTACAAAACTTTATACAGTTTAATCATTCACTTATATAAGAAATAGTTCTGTAAAAAATTAAGAATTATCTAAGCTTCAGGAACACTTGTATATATTCTTACTCCATGCATATCTTTAATTTCTTCTTTAAGTGCCTGTAGAAATAATTACGATTTAAAAAAACAAAATTAATGATATATTAATGTTTGTTCAATAATACGTCTTACATCATTAATTAATCGATGTTGCTTAATAGTGTTCAATCCTTTAAATTCTGGTGCAATAACATTTATCTCAAACATTGCACCACATCCTCCTATAATAAATTTTAAACATTTCTTCAAGCTTGGAAAAATAGGGAAAATAAAAGGAATATCTTCAATTACTTTATGAAACAAGATATTTCTAAATTAAAACAATGAATTATAAATTTAAAATAAATAAGATTAAATACTCGTTTCACATTTTTGTATCTCACAAAATATTTGTAAATAGTTATTAAGAAAATTCTTGTTAAGAAGCATATATATCTCTATTGTACATTGTATTACATTATCACAAAAATGTACCACAATTTATTCCCTTCTTACAATCATTTTACCTGAGACATCATTAACTTCTATAACTTTGGCTTGAGGAAATTTGTTTCTTAGAATTGATATCATTTTTTGTTCAGCGTTTTTGCCAGCCAATACCCTGTTGGGACCATTCCATACCCTCGACAGAAGCTGCAAAACTTTCATTTTATTCATCTTACACATTCTTCAGGGATACATATCATTAATTTCTTCTTTTAATGAGAAAGGAAATGTGGAAATAGGATGTTAGGAATTCCTTCAAAATGTGAATAATAAATATATTTAGCAAGCTGATATTGGTATATTAAAAGAGAATCGTAGAGGCTGTAAAGTCTCTCCAAACATAGAACAACGTATAAAATACACAACCCTGCACAAAGTTAAACGTGCAAATTGTATGGGAAGTGTGTGTTTGTACCTACCGAAATGTTACGAAAATTTGACATAAGTATACGACCGAACATAGTTATTATAATAGATCGCGTTCGCTTCAACCTCGTTTGTTTCTCTGTTTATAATTCAATGAGTGACAACTTTTCGTTGAAAACAGTTAAATAAAATGCTAGTCGGACTAGGAGCGCGCAAACATGTTACTCGATCAGCTGATTTCTGATTGTAAAACTACAACGACGCCACCTATTTGATTTTTAGAAAAAAAAAAAAAAAAACAGATGCGTTAAAAAATGTATAAAAATTCATATTGCAAATGTTAAATAACTTTCATCTAAAATACACAAATCGAGTATTAAATTAATAACAATTGAAAACTAACCTCAGACTAAAGCATTTTATTTTACAAATTATTTTATTTAACAAAAATTGAATCGTATAATAGGAAATCAAAGACACAAATTGCTAAAGTTAATTGAAATTAAATAAAGATTTATTATATTTTATGTATAGTTACACATAAGATTGCGAGTTATATACATATAAATTCGTAAAATGGAAATACATATAAAAATAATATATTTATAGACAGATATTCCGTTCGTAATTACCAAAACAAAGAATCTTTCAAATTTCTTATACCTCCAAGGTGTGTTAAGAAAAATAAAATGAAATTATACAGAATGATCTTTTAGTTGATAAATATGAATTTCGTGGAAAGTGAGGTTAGCCTACTTATTGCCAACCAATCCATCTTTCGTAACTAAAATTACAAGCTATTTTTACTTGGACGTTATATCACACCCGGCATTATTTTCATACGTGTATGCAAATAAACTATCGATACTTGAAGATATTCTTGTTTGATTTCCAACGAAACAAGCAGACTACATCGAAAGAGAAATGTCATCTTCTTCAAAACGACTCACTATATGTACGTTCGAGTACGTAACAAGAGCCGTGATCCGTGGTGACGCAATTAATGTAACCTTTCCTACGATTTCATAATTTTTCAGTCGATTGAAAGAGAGTTTGCGAAAGCGGCCGACCAAGGTAACGATTGTTTGTTTCACGGAGTAGGTCTAATGAATGATTTGATCTACCTGCAGACAAATGCGCACGTAAACATATATGTATACCGCAAGTGAAAATCGAGAACACGCGCCTATGCGCACGCACCATAAACTTGGCAGAGGATGACGTAGATTAACACGAACTCGAGTGTAACCTTGATCCGTACATTGCAGCCTCTCTCTCTCCCTTTACCTTGCGACCCCCTGATCATCGTACTTCGTCGAACTGAAGCGCCTCAGGAACAACAGCGAAACTTATGTACATAGAACGAAAGACGCGTGTACAACGTGTGTTTTCTTTACCAAAATTCTCATGCTTACTCCAAAACTGACAATGAGAGATACCGTTGCGAAATAGAGTTCGCTACAAGGAGTGAAATCATTTCACCTTACAAGCTTGTACACGGTTTCGCGAGGGGCGCAGGGGAATACACCGTGGAACAAGGAAGTGGCAAAGATATTATCGATTCGCCAGAGCTCACGAGTTAACGGTTTGTTTACACGAGCGTGGGGGAAAGTGCGCATGCGCGGCAGAACCAAAACAATAATAAGAGAGTAGAAGGTTTGTGGCTAACGGACGAGCGGTCGCTCGCTTTTGGTCTGCCGCAACATTCTGTTGTGCCCTTTTCCGTACGACAACAAAAGCTACTCGAAACCACAAACTTCTACGAGAACAATTACAGTCATTAAAAGTACAAACACAATTGTCAATGGATTCCTTGTTCCTGAACTGTGTACACTATGCACGCTGTGCGTGAGAGCCGGAGCCAGACCTTGCGTCAAAACGTGTATTATTGTGCAACGTGTACATGAAGCGAGATGTAACACAATCGTGAAAAAGACAGTGTAATGTGAAGTTATTACGATCGAGCTAAGAAGAAAAGAACAGAGACAGAGAGAAACACGGAGGAGAATATCTTTGTGTATATCCAACGTTGAAACAAATTTAAAATCGCGTGCGTGTAAGGTGTACGTTATACGTGTGTAGCCGAGTGTATGCTGTGTATTATACGTGTGCGGTGAGAATGTATTCATTCAATTCTTTGAAGTAAAGCACCAGCAAAACTTGATGATTCGTTCAACATTCGAGAAAAGGAAAGGCTTGAACAGAGAGGGGGCAGGATAGAGGTGGTGCGTATTTACACAGTGAATCACGCGTTCCATGCGATTACGAGACGCAACTGCTAGTTTAGGCCATCTATGTTTACACGTATCTAAATATGTTCGTAAACATCGAATGCACATCGAACTAGGAGAAACGAGGTATATATCAATCATATTCAATTAATCTTGGCTGGATAGTCGGTTAAAAGACAAGTCTGTTTCGCTCTTTCAACAAATTTGTAATAAACAATCATCTTAAAAGAACAAAGATACAGTTGAAAAGTTTTCTTCTTTCTTTTCTTTTTTGGTGTGCAACGTGTAGAACGTTTTTTGTGTACACATCTGCGAGAGGAAAGGAATAAAAGAGAGAAGGAGAAAGCAAAAAAGAAAGAGAGAGAACAATAACACGTTGGTCGAGAGCGCGGCTTTATTGTAGCTGCTGCTCGCCCGTATCGCATACGTAGAGGTGTAAACACAGCATTCGTGCCATTGTCCTTTTGTTCTCATAACCGGTAAACCGGGAGAAAGTAACTTAGCCATGCCGAGCGCCGAGGAAACAACCTACTTGATCGAAGTAGTGCCCAACACGACCCAGGACTTCCTCTCTAGCGACGTCGATCTTCTCGTCTCGCAGATCAAAGAGAATCTTCGACTGTCCAGCTTGAAAGCCAAGTCCAGTATCAGTCAGAAAAGTCGACCGTCACCATATCAAATACCCTCGAGGTCCTGGGCAGATCCTAATAACTGCGAGGTATACGGCACGAAGAACACCGGTGGCCACGATCATCGTCATCACTTAGGTCATCACCATCACCACCACCACCACCACCATCACCACCACCACCACCATCATCATCACAAAAGGCCAACCGTGAGGGACGACGATCCATACGAGCTTTTGCAAGAATTACTTCGAGAAGGTGGTCTGATAAAAGAGGCTGTGAAGAGACTTCAAGCAAATCTCGTCGATTTAGATAATTCTGAGGAAGAGGAGGAAGAGGACGAACAATCGTCAGCGGGTTATCGAAGGAAACCCTACTTCTATGATTCGGAAGACGAACAATTGCCACCAGTGTACGAGCCACTCGAGCTGTGAAAATGAATTATCGCGTGACCGGTGTGTTATGACACCGGTATACGGGATTCAAAGAGATTTAGAAAACGATTTCTGTGGTGTGTACAGACGGTAAAAGCGAAAGAAAGTTCGGTGCCCTTTAATTGAAACAGCCGTTCTCGTTCCTGGATTTACGTTTCCACGATATTATAACGTTCGATGCGCCTCGTGTATTTCTGTGCATGTGTGTATACACGCGTATGTACACACGTGAGGGGGGAAAAAGTGTCAGCCAGAAAGGTGAAAACATTCGCTCGCTAAAAGGCGAAATATGTGTGGTTCATATCGAAAGAAAGCACAACGAGGTAAACGTAATTAGTCAAGAACTGGCCTTACATGGCCGTGTTTGTAAATATGGTATGTTGTTATTCGAGGCAGTTTACGCATCACATACACACAGATGCACACACCCATTCACGCACACACGGGTTCGTGCGAGTTCGGCTAAGATCGCCGACATATCGACAAATCACGAAGCATTTACGTGGAAAACATGGCTGCCTGAGTTCGAGCTCCTCTCGGATTCGATTGAACTGCGAGCAGAGATGAGACTTGCAGTTTTGAAAAAAAATTGATAAAAGGTAAACCCTTTACCGACTTCTTTTCAAAACTGCAAGTCTCATCCCTTCCCGCGGTTCAATCGAATCCGAGAGCTCGAACTCAGGCGGCCATGTTTTCCACGTAGCCTCGTGAATCGTCGATATGTCGGTGATGTTAGCCGAACTCGCACGAACCCATGTGTGCGTGCGTGCGTGCATGGTGTGTGTATATGTGATGCGTGAAACTGTTTCAAATAACAACATACCATATTTATAAATATAGTCATGTAAGGCGAGTTCTTGGCTAATTACGTTTATCTCGTTGTACTTTCTTTCGATATGAACCGCACATATTTCACCTTTTAATGTGCGAATAAAAGAAAAAAAAAAATTAAAAGAAGAGTTCCTCAGTGCTGCTCTCGCGTCCAGGGTAATAGAAAATGAGATTCTGGAGATAATGGTTGATGATCGAGACATTATGAAATATTTGTTCACCATTCGTTCTTTTTTCATTCAGAAAAATTCACAATTTTTCGTTTGTTTCGGTCGTTAATTATTATTATTATTATTGTTATTATTATTAGTATTATTATTATTATTATTATTATTATCATCATTATCATCATCATCATCATCATCATCATCATCTTTTTTTATAATTATACAAAATAATCTGGTAATGAATTCAAAGTAATTAATTTCGAAAAGGAAAGAGATGACAATTTGTCCGATTGTCCGATTTTGTGAATTGACAGCATAATAATCCAGCATAGTAATTTAATGCTTATTTAAATATCTGTTACCTCCGTTACATATGCATATATGTGTGTGTGTGCGTGCGTGCGTGCGTGCGTGCGGGCGTGCGTGCGTGTGTGTGTGTGTGTTATAAATATATTTTTTTTTAATAGCGTAAAAAAGAGCACGAGTATAGACGAAAAGGTATCCTATAATATAGGATATTTTAATTTTGCTCGATTTGTTCGGGCAATTATGGTCCAGTTACTACTAGAGAAGTTAAAACTAAATTGAAAAATTAATCAACGAATTGTGGAAACGCCTTTTTTGCGCGCGGAGGCATCGCAACTCGAAGGATAGTGATCTTATTTTTCTTTTTTTTTTTTTCTCTTTTTCTATTTCATTTCTCTTCTGCACAACGAATGAGAATTATTTACTTAAGATAAAATGAACAAGTTGGATTATACAAACGTATACTTTCAAATTTAAGTCCCGTAACTGTACACAGATGGGTTATATATTTGTGCGTTTGAAAGTATTTGACCAACGTGCTTGAAAAGACATAATAATTTGGTATTGTCATAAAAGTACACGAACTATTTGGGTTTGTTATACGATTGACACACGGTAGGTTTACATTCGCTCCGCATATATTAAGTACGTATATGTATAGTTATTTATCACTATCGATCGTTAGCGATATAACAAACGCTGTATGCGCGTGTAAATTTGTTGTACATATGTGTGTGTATGTATATATACATATAACATTGTATATGTGTATATATGTAGAGACATATATAAATGCATATTGGGTGCACATGCGTGTTCAGTTTAACGGTAGAGTGTTATTCATTTTACGATATTGGAATTTGATGAAAAAAAAAAAAAAAAAAAATAAACAGGTGATTTTTGTAGCGTGTCACTCTGCAAGGGCCCGGCAAAATGGAGGCATGGTATCGCGCAATATATCATGTCTATACATCGTACAAATGTTAACTAGTTCACGATTAAAAATATTGCGTTAGATCACAGTTCTGATGGCGTGATCCATATGAACGAATGAATGGAGAATTAGCGCGTTTTTTCTTGGTACGAACTATATGCAACAATATTGCATAGGTATGAATGTGTAGATAATGAGAGATTTGTCTTTAAATTTACCGTTAAAGTGTAAATTAAGGAAGCTATATACCTCGTTGTGACGGTCGGATTTGTCATCCGGCGAACCTTAATTATGAATAAACAAATAAAAAATTTCATTCTAGTCTCGTTTTATTATTCTTTCTTTACCCAACGAATTTTATCCTAGAACAGTTTTAGTTCCAAGATTTTTTATTGATTTGTATTATATATTAATACTTCAATATAGATTTTAGTTCTTGCTGACAATAAAAAGTATCGGAGAAATTTTCTTAAGAAAAACTATACACAACTTAATGCATACATTTGTATTTATGTGGAATCATATTTCATGTGTGAAAGTATTACAAATACATCCTTGGTGTTGAATATGATGATCTTTCAATAAAAAAGAACAACATATCTGAGAAGCTTATTTCATATGCCTTCTTTTTATTCATAAAAATTATTCGTACTTGTGTACATAATTTATAATAGAATTTCTGAAAGTCAGAAGAGAGAATTACCAAAAAATTTTAATTTTTTATTTTTCTATATTTTCTTAAAAATACTCAGAATTTATGAATTTAATTTAATTATTGTTCCAGTTTCTTTTAAACGTGATTACGGAAATTAACTTGTTTTGTGTAATTGATATTTGTTTACTTATACATAGCTAACATTATGTAATGGACATACTTTCGTCGATATCAGAATATCATGTAAAAAATAAAACTAACAAATTACAAAGAAGAATTATTTTCTTTATCCTTCGGTTTATGTTATCACATTCATTGATAGTTATAAAATAGGTTTAATAAAAAATGTTGATTCATTCTACTCGTATGATAGAATTAAAGAGGACTGTACGATAGATGTCTTTACATTTGAAATAATGAACATGACTGGATTGAAACGTTTGCGTCACCTGTTAAAAATAGATCATCTAACGGAAATCACTATACGTAAACAACATATATAATTAAAAATAGTTATAGTTAAAATTATTCCTTTTGACACGTGTGAGTAATAATTTGTACACACATATATGCATATATATTTACATACGCATGTTCACATGTTACAGCTACGTTTCACGACGAACGTTTTTAACTTGAACTTTGCAAATAATTAGAAATAATAATGTGTTTGTCAAGTTGTAATGTTTTATTGATTATTTTGAACTGTTATCGATAGTTCAAAATTATCACTTATCGATAAAAACCGTATATAAACAATTAATAATCAAAAATTTTCCAAGATATGCTGATAAAAGATATATAGTACAATTGTTCATTGAAAATCAAAGTGAATTTATAAAATAGGAAATAATAAAGTAGGTCGTGAATCAAAGTGAATTTATATTATAAAAAAAGAAAAAGTATTTCGACATATAGATAGGAAATTATAGCATAAAACGTGCATAAAAGGATAAAAGAAAAATAATGTTGAAAATTTTTAATTTTTTTATTATTACGAATTAATAAAGGAGTGTTTTCCATTTTTCATAAATAAAAAGTACTACGAACATTTCTAAAAGTTATTTGTCTTATTATTAATCTAATTTATGTAAAACAGTGAATTAGATTTTTATCAAATAAAAATTACGAAGATTTAGTAGCAATGATTCATTCTAATCATATGTTTGAAATATAATTTTCACATATTAATTATAATATAATAAACTTTATTACTTTTTTGTTTGAAGTAAATTTATGTTATACAGCAAATTCAATACGTATGCAACATGTGTATAAGTATGCATGTATATACTGATAATAAAAACCAATTATTCCATGTCGTTACACGGGAAATAAACATCATTGGTCAATTGAAATTTATCACGTGATCTTTTAAGCTATAGTAGATAAAAGATAATAAAGTAGGTCGTGAATCGTGCATTTACGTAAAAGGTGGTTTTATAAGTATTAACGAAATTTTCGTAATTTGGACGTCGCACGAGTCATTGATTACGTTACAAAATCTACATTCAACTAGTGTTATAAAAAACCTGTACTATTCTATCAACAAATCGACAAATGACAAAATAGTATGGCGGAAACAACGCATTTGTATGTATAGATACAATTACAATTGATTGTTATTATATCTCTGCTGCTAAGGAATTGATTGTTATTGAATATAAATATATAATTATTATAATAACATCAATGAATTTGTCCTTTTTATACTACGTTTTGTCATTCACTCTGTTCCTTGTAATATACCTCCCTTATTTTGTTTCCTTATCGTATCTTCATATCATGCTATCAATTATACTGCTTGTTGCTTTATAAATCATACTATGATGATTATTTTTTACTTTTGTAAATATAATAATGTTTATAATATTATACTATTATCTTTCACAATTATATTTTGTATAACACTTTGAGGTTATATTGAAAATAATTTCTTTCTACGCATGTGCGAATGGCTGACAATGAGTCGTATAGAAAACGTTTAAATTGTTAAATAAAATAATATTAATATCAATTCTAATATATCTTATATTATAGGAATTATAAATTATTGTATTAAACAATTTCTGCATTTATTTTTTGAAAAATAATTACATATACTGTAGAGAATAGTATTATATATCATAAATATAATCTATATATTATATTATATATATATTAATCATTGTACATACATAAATATATATGTTGTGTAGTTTTAATTTAATAAAACATAATTTGTCATTTAATTGGTCTTAATTTATTGATTTTTGATAAGATAATAATTGAGTACCAATCATTGATATTAATATTATTTCAAAATAAAATTTTATTAGGTTTTATAGAATTTTCCAAAAAATACAGAATTGTAAATACGTTCAGTAAAAATTGTAAAGTCCTAAGTTTGTAAAAATTGTAAGTTTGTATAATGAATAAAGAAATTTATTTTCGTTAAAGATTCTTGAAATTAATGTAATTACTATAATTGTAAGAAAATTACAAATTTAAGAGTAAATTATACGAATTGCATTTTTTAATTATATATTTTTTTCCTAAGAACATATTTTTGCTAACAAAAACAATACTTATAATAGTTTGCAATTTTACTGTAAATCTTTTTTTATAAGTAAACTTTTAATTTTTGATAAATATGGAAATGGGTATTAAACATAGTACATAATAGTATATGTATATATTATTTTAGAAACGGACTAGAATCATGCTTTCAAAGAGGAGATCATACTTTAAAAGTACCTATGTCCCTTTTCCAAAACAATCGGAAAAGATTAGTCACGCGTATTAAGTCGAATACAAAAACACCAACTATAGGTACTTTTATTATTCTCGAAGGAGGAGTTGAAATTCCATTTAACGACACAGATATATGCTGGCCATTCAGACAGGTAAATAAATTATGAATTATATAACATAGTGATATAATATGTACATATTTTGTATATAATTTTTTTTAGGAGTCATTTTTTCAATGGTGTTTTGGCGTTGAAGAACCAGGATGTTATGGCGCTCTTGATTTAGCAACAGGAAAGTCCATACTATTTGTGCCACGATTACCAGCAGAATATGCAATTTGGGAAGGAAAATTGCATAGTTTGGAAGATTTTAGAAAACGATATGTAGTAGATGAAACTTATTATACCGATGAGATAGCCAAAGTTCTAAAATCAAAACAAGCGGATCTCCTTCTTACTTTAGTATGTAATCTAATATTTAAATTAAATATTTTAAAGGACTGTATACTTAGGAAACCAGCTTGAGAAAATGTTTTATCGCTCGAAAAAATATATTTAAATGTAATTTCTTAAGAAAAATTAGATTGAAATTTTTTTCAATTTAGATTGCAATTTTTTAATATAAGTTAAGAAAAATATAAGAAAAGATTATACTCCCGATATTCTTCTTAAAAATATTTGGAAATGGTACAATTTTGAACAATTATTATCAATTTCACCTACGTGCATGTAGTTCCTTTAATAAATAACTTTTTTTAATCTAGTTCTGCAAAAATATTCACATTTTTGTAATATTTTCAGTGTGGTCAAAATAGTGATAGTGGTTTGCAAGCAAAAGAGGCAACTTTTGATGGTATCAATCAGTGAGTACATATTAATTTTCAATATGTATTATTTATATTATAAATAATTTTTTATATTATAAATAATATTTATATTCTGTTATGTTTTAGGTTTAAAGTTGACAATAAAATTTTATATCCAGAAATATGTGAGTGGTAAGTATTACAAAATTAATATTATATGATATCGTCTTAAAATACATCAATTCGGTGAAGACTATATAATATATATTTAATTCTTAAAATAATAAAATTTTTATATTATCCTGAAATAGAGACACAAAATATAAAATATAAAAATGAATTACTATATAAATTGAAATTGGTAAAATTTCACCAAATTGTTATCGAAGTTATGTAATAATCGATTTATTATATCGATATATATATCGTCATAATTATTTTCTGTATGTTTGTCACAAATCTTTCATATGAAGTTTAATAATGATAACTCTAAAATCGTTAAATTTAAAGTATCATTGCAAATAGACTCAAAATATAAATACCAGCTATTATATCAATTTTATTACAAAACAACAATTCTACTACATTTAGCAAAACATATTTTATGCTGTTTCATCTTTTCATTTTATAATTAAACAAGGTACATTAAATAAAACATGAAGAAATTATCATTAAACATAATCTTATTAGATGCTTGTATGCTCTATGCAGATGATACTAGCTGGTCATGTATGGACAAAATTTTTAATGCGTATGCAACCTGTTTCAATCACTAAATTTATTAATCGATGCTATGAATCCAATTCTGGAAAATATGCTGGACAACAAAATCTAACACAAACTAGCATTTTTGTAGAAGAAGGATTAGAAATACAGGAAGTGCCTTTAATTGTTAGAAAGATTAAAGATATTGAAACAATATGTAAAAATATAGACCGAAATAGCATTTCTGTTATCAATAATTGTTATAATGGTCCTGATACATCTAAGAAGACTGTTCCACTTGATGCTAAAAATAATACCAATTCCAAAAGTAATACTAATGCGAAGAGTAAATTACTAAATCGAAGAATAGATATTGAAACAGATGAAGGAACTGCAATATTATTTTGTTCGGATCTTGATTGTTTCAAAGATTTGGACATTGATGAGACATTGCAACTGTTTAATGTCACCAATAATGTCTATCCTATTCTGGAGAACCAGATCTCTCAAGAAATCAATTGTAGAGTAGCTTTGGAAGGATTAAAAAAAGTTATAGATTTAGAGAATAGTTGGTTTAAACAAAAGTCTAATAAAACGCAAAAAACTAAGCAATTTGATGTTGACAATACTACTAGAAATATGATAATGAAACAATTGATTAAATTAATTATTAATAGTAATAATGCTGAAATGATAGTTCAGGGGCTTATAGCTCTGAAAAAGGATAAAGTTAGTCCATCTAGAAATATATATAGAGATTTGATGTGTGATGAAGCCTTAAGTCGAGCAACAGATGGAGAGTTTTCACCTGCTCAACTAGTAAATTTGATAAAGATTTTATCATCTTATAAAGATTCTAAGTACTGTAAATCAATAGATACCTTATGGGTTGGTATTTTGCTTCAAGAACAGGTGATTAATGCACATACATTAGTAGCATTGTTTAAAGTATTAAAATACTTTAATCAGAGCAAAAATATAGTGAAACTTATTCTAGAAAGAAAACTTTCTGATTGTTGGTTGAAATTATCAGGCACACAAATTGCAGAAATATTAGATTCTTTTCATGATGATGTTTCTGCAATGAAATGTTTAATGAGTGCCAGTAAATGGGCAAGTATAAGCATGAATGCATCTAGTGAAAAAGATTTAATAAATTTTATACGTAGTTTACATGTAAAAAATTACATTGATGAGAGAATAGAAAATACTTTGCAAAATTATTTGAAATCTAAAGCATTACAAATTGATAATTCAAAATTAATAGCTACAATTATGAATTATTGTAAGGATTTGCAGATTAGAAATGAAAGCATTCTGTCAGAGTGTGGAAAATATTTTATGAAACATGCCATGAATTTATCAACTTCTTTGTTGCCTTCTATATTTACACCATTTGGATTATTATATGTACAACCTCCAAATAGTGCAGAATTTTGGAAAATATTTGATGATGTATTATCAGTAAAATTTCATGATTTGAAATTAGACGATGCTCTAGATATTCTTCTTTCCTGTACTTATTTGGAAAAATATCCCGTTAAATTTTTTGATAAAATATTTATCTCACAATTACTGCATAAAATTCATTTGAGAAATCATTCTGTATTCTCTAATCGCATAAAAAGTAAATTGAAATTACTGGATGCCACGATGTTTTTAGAGTCCAAAGAATATCAGTCTCTATATTTTCCTCTGAGAAAAGTAGAGAAACCTTTATTTTTAGATATTCGAATTAAAAGGGCAGTGAACATGATATACCAACCATTAGCATCTTTAGTAGGGGGAGAACAAAAATTGAGTAAAAATGTGATATTGAACAGACTACCACCTATAAATTTTTATATTCTTGATATTCTTATACATCCACATATGATATCAACATCGGTATTTCATTTAAATTTGGACCAAGAAAAAAATGTGAATACTGCAGTCTTTATTTATTTGCCAGAATATTACTGCAGAAATACGCATCATTTAATAGGACCTCAAATAATGAAAAAGAGGCAGATTAAGAAATTAGGTTTCAAAGTTATGACATTAGATTATGTAACAATACAGGAATTCTGGAATCAATCTAATAGATTATCGTCTTATTTATTGAAAAGTTTACATTCCGCAGAAAATTCTTTATAACACATATACAATGAAAATGTAAAATAAAAAATTTCTCTATTCATGATGGAAATTGTAAAAGTAGTCTAATGAAACTACATTGTACAAGGTATAGAATAAAAATTTTTGCAGATAAAAGTTCAATAATTTTTTATAAAATTAATGATAATTATATTATAAAATAAGACAACTTATATGAAAATATATGTATTTTTTTTATAGTCGTGTCATAAAATCTCCACAAGAAATTGAGGTACTAGAATATGTGGTTGAAGTAAGTTCAAATGCTCACAAATCTATTATGCAAATGGTGAAGCCAGGATTTGCAGAATTTCAAGCAGAAGCAGCTTTTATGCATTATGTATATTCTATAGGAGGCTGCAGACATGTCTCTTATACCTGTATTTGTGGATCTGGACATAATTCATCTATTTTGCATTATGGACATGCTGGTGCTCCTAATAATAAAGTTATAAATGATGGTGATATGTGGTAAGTTTTAATTGAAATTAATGTAATTTACTTTTTCATTTTATTTACAAAAAAATATTTTCTCCTTTTTGTCTATAAGCCTTTTTGACATGGGTGGTAATTACTGTGGATATGCAGCTGACATTACATGCAGTTTTCCAGCCAATGGAAAATTTACAGAAGATCAAAAAATGATCTATAATGCAGTGTTGGTTGCTCGTGATGCTGTAATGAATGCTGCAAAACCAAATGTTCTTTGGACAGATATGCACCTCTTAGCAAACAAGGTCATGCTAGCTGCATTAAAAAGTGGTGGTCTATTAGTGGGAGCTGTTGATGAAATGATAAAAGCAGGATTAAATGAAGTTTTCCAGCCTCATGGGCTTGGACACCTTATGGGATTGGACGTTCACGATGTTGGTGGATATCTTCCAGGACATCCTGAACGTCCATCAGTTCCAGGATTAAGAAAATTGAGAACCGGTCGTATTTTGCAAGCTGGTATGGTTTTGACAATTGAGCCAGGTTGCTATTTTATTGATTGTGTAAGTAAAAGAGCTAGATTATAAAAAAATGCTGAAAGTATTAAAATTTTCAAAATTTATAAAGTTTTTGTATTAACTGATACATGATAGTTATTAGATGCGGCATTGGAAAATACAAATCAATCAAAATTTATCGTTGCCGAAGAATTGAAAAAATTCCGTGGTTGGGGTGGTATTAGGATCGAAGATGATGTTCTTATAACAGAAACTGGTGTAAGAAATTTAACGAATGTGCCACGCACGTAAGTTTCGAGAATACAAAATAATACATACTTTCCTGGTACTTGAATTACATGTTTTACGATATATGTAAAATTTAATATTCAATATCTAAAATTTAGTGTTTGCAAAATTTTGCAGAATTAAAGTTTAAGTATGATTTACAATAATATACAATTTAATATATAATTTAATTATAGCGTGGAGGAAATAGAAAAATGGATGGCTGGTAGAAAAAATTAAACTTGATTATAGAAGAAGAAACGATGCATAATATATGCGAATGTTTAACGAAGAATATCTACAATATGTACAAATTTACATATTCTGTTTTTATGATATAAAAACAATTTTAATATATTGGATAATATAAAATAATATCACAAAATATTTTTACATCCTTATAATGCATATTTAATGCAATATTTAATATCAAATGAGCTTAAGTCATTCCTTTATAAATTGTATACAAAGAAAAACAAATAAAATAATATTCTTTATTACATAATACATTTCGTTAATGTTCTTATTTTTTTAAATTTCACTTGGATCTCTTTTGTATTAAATAAAATACATGTATATTACAAAATATCACTTAATTAAAACCTAAGAATAATCTTTAAGTGTTTATAAAATATATTAATTAAAGTATTGAAAATTTTGAGACGCAGATACATTTCTGTCGTAAAAATTTCAGTTCATAACTTTTCGTGTAATAAGAGAGGGGGTAGTGCTAAGTGCAACCTTGGATGTGATATCTTGCGTTTATTGAAAGGGAACTTGAGCGCTGTTATTATCGGGTATGGTGTTACAGTCGTGGTCGCGGTATGAACGCGTACAGTACTATACAGTGAAAGTTCTAAAAATTGTTAAAAAAGACAGACGAAAAATACAAGTGTCGTTTTATTTTCTTCTTTCCGATGGTTCTTTATGAAATAGTGCGTATATTTTGTGAATTAATTATCATTTATGTATAAGTATGTATACTAATCATGATTGGTTATATGTTTGAATAAAAATAAATTTTCTATCGATAACATTAATAAAATTTTAAATAAATTTTTTAAATTCAAACGTATAATGAGAAGTGGTAATGAGTAGAATTCCTGAAATGAGAATCTTTTGTCTGAGATGTATTGATAATGTATTTTTTTATAAAATATTTTGTTTTTTATTTAAAATAAAATTTCTGATGAATTTGTATAGTATATTTTAAATAATTTAATACTCGTCATATTGCAAAAAATAAGATGACGATAAATCGATAAACAAAAAATGATAATCATTAAGACCTCTAGTTTTTTGCATCACGGAAAGAGAAATTTAAAAGTATAATAAAAAATATATTAAAATTTAAAATAGAAGAGAAGTGTTAAATTTATCGGCGATTTCTTTTTAATGATGAAGATTCGTTGTATTTGTCAACGTCAAAAGCGAAAGTGGACTGAATATTCATTGATATGACCTTTTTTTTTGAAAAAAATCAAATTATAATAGTGAATCTAATAAATTATAATAAATAATCAATGAAAAGTTAACAACTAGTTAAGATAATTGACACAGGAATGATAATCTAATTATTAATAGTTAGGACTGCAAGATTATAAAAATTCACTAGTTAGGTATTGTTAATTTATTACGAGTGTTAGGATATAACTAGTTCAATTAACATTTAAGATTTAATTAGTGGATTGAACTTTATTAATTTTGCAATAATTTATATTTTGTATTGATTTCAGATATTTCTTTTTATCGATATATGTAAAGTAAAGCTTATTTGGATTGATTACAGTATTTTTACAATTGTAATAATATAATTCGAGATTGATTAAATTTGAAAATTAAGTAACAAAAGAAAATATTATTGGTAATAATATTGCTTTCAATTGCTTAAAAAAGAAGATAAATGATTATAAAAATGGGAAATTAAAATCAATAAATAGATTATTTCTAGTAGGTTAAAATAAAACTAGTTTTATATCTATTTGAAGTTATAATGTTCAAGAGGAATAAGACAAGTTTAATCTGAAATATAAGCGTAAAAAAATAATTCTAACCAAAGACTTGACGAAGTAAGTACGTCATTTACTAAGAAAAAATGATAACGTTGTCAGCTATTTATCATTTCCTCGTCCTTTCTCAAGTTATTATTTTATGCGCATAAAGATAATTAGAATACTAGACAATAGTTAGAAATTAAACGAGACAAAGTCTATTAACATATTGAACTAGAATGGACTCGTTGGATAAAAAAAAAGTCACTTTGTAATCGTATTTTTTATGTTTAATAAAAAAAATTACTTGCAACAGTGTGTGTGTGTGTGTATATATATATATATATTACTTAATTTAATTACATTTTCATTTTGGATACGGATGTTTTTAACAATAGTATTATTAATAAACGAGTAAAGTTTTCTGGCGCAATAGATACAATTACAAAATTTAAATAACAAAATTTTTAATTTAAAAATATACACGTGCTTGATTTTATGAATTAAAGATCACAATGAAATAAGATCACATAAATAAAATCGTTTCCTGCTAAGAGAATATGTATCTGCTATTCCAGCAATTTTTTATGTAATTATTAACTCTCTGATTCAACGTAATCGTTTTTCATAGAAACCACGAGCGTAATAGATAGTAAAAAAAAAAAAAAGAAAACGGGAAAAATATAACAAAACCATGAAATCCAAGTTCTCGGTAACGAAACCGAGATTTTTTCATAATTTACTTTAGCTATTAGCAGTTGAATTCTTTTTTCTTTCTCCTTTATTTCCTACGTTACGCTGCCACGTTGCCTCTTTTTGCACTACATGAATATATATGATTTCGATTAAAGTTTGCGATCAAGGTGATATTTATCGATGAGGGCGGAACGTTTACGTCGATTTCTGTTACGTAGAGAAATACCGAAGGCTTGACAAACACGAGCCACCTTTGACGCAACGCGAATATACGATAGTCAGCTGTATCATACGACCCAAGTCCGAAACACATTGTCGGTCAAGCTCGTCACATGGTTGCGATGTCAATGATTTGAGACGTCAACCAGACATTTATTGCGTGCGTGATCAGTTGCGGATTTATATTGCGACCGATATATGTACGTATGTATTTATTTGATATCACTCACAGATTTAATAGAATTACAATATAATAGTTCCATTTATTGGAACGAAACTTTGACGACAGAATACAGCTTTCTGAACTCTTGTATGAATAAAGAGTTATAGACGAGGAGGATTAATGAATACTTATTACTTTATTGTTAATGCTCTATTAATGGAACGACTCGACTCAGTCGACTGAATTTGAATTTCTGCTGTTTAAATGAAGAGCCGTGGGTAGGAGACCCTACAAATATTTCATTTAGTAATTATATTTTTAATTTATTTCACGGTTTCCTTTAGTCAATTATGAAGCAATGCACCAGCGCAAGATGTAACTCTTTCTTTGACAGTTTTCGAGAACAACTGAAGATTCTCATGTTGTAAACGTCATTTTTTCATGTATCATCGAAGCGCAACTTCTCCGATGATGTCATCATTCAACATCCGAGGTGAACAGTCGAACCGGCTCGATAAACTAAAAATAGCGATTTCTGTCTTTTTTTCATCTTTTGTTTTCATATACCAATCTTGAATAATCGACAACGTCGCGTCGTTGGGAAATTTTTCCGATGGAAACAAGATACGATTGATCTTAGAGCACAAACGAATATGACGTAGGAAATAAATCTTATCAGTTGTTCGTTCTCAAGTTCAAGTAAAAATCAGACAATATTTTATTGGGAATGATGCGTTGAGTTATATAACGGAATGAAGTTCGTTGAATCGACGTTTGGAATCGATATTCTCGCCGGAAGTAAAAGTATGCCTTGTTATTTGTAAACGTAAGCTAACGACGAGAATTTAGCACAGGTTCATTTAAATGCACTGGGATTTTTTCACGATTGTCATAAAAACATTTCAAACATAAAAACCTGTCCTGTTTGAAATAATATGCAAATGTACATGGATCACAAAACAATAAAAGAACATGTTATATACATACTCTAGATGTTGTGCATCCTCAGAAAATTGAAAATAAAAAGGGATCGATCCTTTTCAATTGGGACCGTGCGAACACCCCTTAAACCGAAATGTCAATGTATCATAACCTCATTAACAACGTTCGCGTTCTATTTGCGCGCGTTGTGCATATTATTTGTGAGTCGCGTAAAAATAGAAATTCGTTGTACGTCAGACGAAAAAAAAAAAAAAGAAAGAAAGAAAAAGTCCAGGAGAAGGTTCACCGAGGATTATTTTCGGGAATACGGGGTTTGAATTATTTTCGATAATTTCGACGTATATTTATCCTTAGACGGGAGACTAAATTTACCTCTAGGAACTTTTTTCCCCTTATAAATCGGATCTCCGATGAAATGAAAACGCGAGATAATCAATGAGATTAACATTAACTGAGTAGTAAACGAAAATAGGCGACGAAGAGGAAAAGGGAGAAAGAAACGCAAAAGAGGGAGGAGGGACGAAGAGTGAGAGAAAGAGAGAGAGAGAGGGAGAGAGAGAGAGAGAACAGCGGGAACGTGATAATTTGAAGTAAACTCGCGGACTAGTCATTGATCGACCGCGAGACGTCGAGCGCCGCGACGCCCTCTCTCCTTTTCTTAACCCTAGCGGCGTCCCCACCTGTGCTTGTTCACAATCGTGTCAGACATTTAAGCGTCACATCCGAAACACGCCTCCTTCTTTCTCTCGCTCTTACCCTCTCTCCCTCCCCGTCCCATTTGTCTCTCTCTCCTTCGCTCTTTTCATTCGTCGTTCAACGACTCGTCGACGGCCGTGTCTCGTCGCGGACCAGGAGAAGAATTCGCGTTGACGAACCTCGGGCGCTCGTTTCGCGTTTCTCGTCGGTTCTGTTGCTCGGCATAAGAGAGAGAGAAACGAGACACGACTTACAAAAGGGAGATAGAAATAGAGATAGAGATAGAACGAAAAGGAGAGAGGGACAGAGAAACTGGCGCACGCAGCACGCGAGAAACAGAGACACCTCTCTTTGCCGCGTGAAATTCTACTCCTCGCCGTTTTTTTTTTTCTTTCCAGAGGTAGAAACGTGCGACTGCTGGTCGATGTATGAGCAACGTTCCGTGTGAGCCTCGCACTGTTCTGATTGACCAGTTCCAGTGAACAGTCACGAAGGATAGAGAAGAAACGGGAACCGAAGAGGGGAGAGAAGGTTCTTCGGAAGTGGTTGTGCGTTTTGTTTCGTGGCAAAAATGTGTCGTGGCCAGCTGCAACGCGTGGACGAAATGTTCGACACGGGACTTGATCGTTGTTCATGAAGGTTCCTCTGGCACGCGGATAAGGAGATGCAGTGTGCCCTGATGTTAACGTCGAGGATTTCGTCGGGTTTCGACGTCGGTTGCTGTGCTACCCCGTGTATCACCGTGCTCATTGAATCGCTTTGTCTGAATGGGGTGGCGGTGAACGACCGTTTCTAGGTCGGTCGAGATCCACACCGGGAGCTTAATTGACGCGCTTCGAGGAATTCTAGGAGCGGGTCGTAGGAAATTGGGACATCGAACGAGGATCCTTTTTTTCTCACACGGTACGCGGACTCGGTGGCGAAGCTTCTCTCTCTCTCTCTCACACACACGGAGTGGTTTCTCACGAAAAGTGTCATTTTAGAAACATCGTTTTCCTTATCTCTCCGACTACTCGTCGTCCATCCGCGTCGATTGTTCCGCGTCAAATCTGAAAAGATTTCGCGCGAGCCAAATTGGGTCACCGGGGGAGATCCAACCATTGTCATCCAGCCGAATTTTCAACAAGATTAACAGGAAGAAAATTAACAGAAACATAGTCAATGTAAAGGAGAAAAAAACTCGTTGACATAAAAACGTGTACATCGTGAAAGCTTGGCAGCATAAGATCGACATGTTTTGTTTCCAAACGCCGTTCACGCGCGCGTCACGCGTGCTCGTGTCCTCCCTGTCTTCCAACAAGACGAAAACCTCCTCGATGAGCATGATCCTTCCAGTGGACAAGACGTCGGGCTCCAAGTGTGACAGGCAGGACTCGGAAGCGACAAGCGAAGGTTCCGGCTCGTCTATCGGTTATATTGACCAGGAACCACTGGTTTCTGACACGAGCAGCACTGACAGCACGCTTCCGGACATCAAGGCGGATTACCTCGATCCGGAGACCTTGTCGCCTGGGCCTGACTCTCTAACGGCTTCCGTTGCCATCGTGGAGAACGGGATGGACGAGCCGAATAACATACTTGCGGAGTGCGGCAATGAACAGAATTACCACGTGACCCTCTCCTCGTCCCCTGAGAAGCAATCGTATAGCAACATACGGTCGAAGAAGTTACTGCTTCGTCTACGTTCCAACGACTCATCCTCGGACAACAAAGGGGACACGGTTGCCCAATTGAACAAAGAGGAGGAACACAGAGAGAAGGAGAAAGAATACAAATCCGGAGAAACTTTGCTGACGAGTTCTTCGCCATCGGTACTGATCGACCCCGCGGACCCCGAGGAGGAGGACACTTTGAGAAATTGCAGAGTGACCGCAGCCTCTGAGAACGATATATCCTCGTTGCAGAATGTGTTCAGCGAGTCGGAGAAGGAGAACGTGTCCAATCAAGAAACGGAAACCGAGACAGAGGAAGGTTCCTCGTTACCTTTGAGCCCTGCTGGCCCGTCAACCGGCGGCTTATCCTCGTCGACAGTACCTTATTACAATTTTCTTTGCGTCAATGGTGGAGCCATGCGACAGGAGATGACTAGCACCAGCTCACCCCAGCTGTCCTCGGACAGCAATCACAGATCCAGCGCTGAATCTAGCTCACCAGCCGATGCTTGCAGTTCGTTCAACGTTGAAAAGAACTCGAGGTTAGACACGTTGAAGCCAGAGAGCTTAGAAAGCACGTTTTGCCTGCCTGCCGCGAGGTCTTGCCCCAATTTGGAAAGGCAGAGCGCTGGATGCTCGCCAACCAGCGGGTCGTTTGGTTCTAGTCCTAGCCCCGGTCCTGTTGGGCCTAGATTCAAACCTATCGAAGAAGGGGACATTCAGGTGTGCTTTTTGAATTATACCAATCTCGTGAAGAAGATCCTGTCGAGCAAATATCTGAGGAGGTGGGAGACGCATCATCTTTATTTGAACGACACCTGTATCTCGTCGAAGACGGTAAGCTTGATTTTTTTTTTTTTTTTTGGATCGAAAGTATCGTTACGTTTTTATATTGTCACGCTTTATTCAGTATTTTACGCTCATGCGACACGCTTGTACATACGATGTGGATGAGATGACCAATTTACATAGAAATTATGAAAGGCATTCAATAAATATCTTCTTACATCATAGTCATTATCAAGTGCATCAATAATTTATAAAATTTACTCTCTATCTATATTTCATTTGTTTTTCAAAATTCAGGAGAATTTACGTACACTAACGCCAACCATGGTGAATCGTGTGAAAGGAGAGTTATTTTCGAAAAATTTACATAAAGTTAAATCGCAGGTATTCTGGTATTTTTCGTGTGTCATAATGTGACGTATGTTGCACATAATTAACTTTAATAAGTTTTATGTCATGTGCGTCATCAATGGCCCAAAGGTAAAGTTTCTATTAACGAGAGAAACGTGTTTTTTAGCTATTGATCGCATTAAACTTATTTAAGAGAAGAGGAGCAAGAATGTATGTATGATACGAGTCTTTTGGTAATTAAGTATATCGATACGACGTAGTTCTAGTATTTTATATAATTTTTGCGCGATACGAGAATTCTTCGTAAATAAAATAGAGTGGTCTTCATAAATAAAACTTGCGGAATAAAATAAACTCATGGTAATAAAATAAAACTTATTTCTTAGTCGGTTTGAAAGATATTTCATTGATATCCATAGAAATGAGACGAATATACGTATGTATATAAATACAAAATTACTTTTGACCTATATTGGAATTGTAAATACTAAGTATCATCTACTGACGTTTATATTGTATAAGCAAGCGAAAAAGATAAATAAAGAAAAATATTCCATGAATTTATATCTTTTTGTTCTTTTAGAACGAGTATGGAAAACAATATTCTACGTGGATCAAAAGTGATCCGCTGATAGTTCGAGAGTTATGAAATACGAAGAATAATTTTCGTTTGAGTTTTAATACAAGAAGGCAACATAATCTAGTACACAATCTAGTCTATGAATATTTTTCTTTTAGTTAATCTGAACTATATTTATTTATCATTTGTTAAACAAACTTAATACCATATCATAATTGGAATTTTATCGATAAACATGATTAAGATTTCAAAATGTGAAATACTCTTACTTTTGTTAGAATTTTCTAATAGTTTGTTTATATAAATTATGTAATTAATGGTACATTATCAATAATTAATAGCAAAATTAAGTCGAGCATTTTGAATACTTCTCTATTTTGAAAAAAAAGAAAGAAATGAAAGGAAAACGAAATACTCGTCGTATAATCTATGCTTAATTCACTTTAAATTACGCTGACTCGTTTGGATTGTTTCCTTACAAGTTTACAAGCTGTCAATGAATGATAAATCGGTGATATTAAATATTTAATTAATTTCCTCTTATGGTTATTACGTTATTAAATTTTTTATTGATGTCGCATCTGCAATTACGAGTCGTATTACGGTTCTTTGAGCTTTCTGCATCATTTTTGAACGGGAAATTATTTTCTACAATTGTTTTATTATTAGAAATATCACGTGAAAGTATTGCACGTTAAGAAAAAGCTTAATTGTAAAAATATTTGAAGTTTAATCGTAAAAATATTTAAATTTTAATTGATCAAAGTTAGTATTGACGTAGGTATCGTAATTGCGATAAGTCATGCTGTTTCATGTTATTTTGCATTAATTGAGGTTACGAATGTTTTCTTCAGATTTTAAACAAACATCCGACTTGCATACACTTGCAAGATAGTTAAAAATAAAAAGCAAAAGAACTGGAATTAATACGTAGATATTTCTTAAGATTCGAAGGAGGATACCAAGCGTGTTTGCATTTTAATCTATTTAAAAGAATTGTTTGGAAGTTTTAAAGTCGGACAGGCAGATTGATTCAGAAACTTTGGAAATTTCTCTGATTCCAGTGTCCATTATTGAAAAGGAAATATTCGTCTGTAATTGAAACTAGTTTCAATTATATAACTGTATATTCGTTTCAAGTTAAATACGTATACATTATACCACTACACGAATCGGCGTCATTCATAAGGAAAACACTATTCTTTTTAAAAAAAATTATTTTCAATTCATCCATATTTACAGAGTTGTTAAATTTATCAAAGTTTTCTCTTGCATCTACTAAATCTATTCCTATCTTTCAGTAAGAAACTCCACCTGTATCCTCTTTTACAATAGCTCCCCTAAATTTAAATAAAACTTTCAACAACAGCCCTTTGTTACTTCTTACTTTCTTTTCCCCCCCAATATGAATGAATTATTGTTTTCCTGTTCGAACAATTCCTCTGTTTGTTATATCGATATTTCGCTTGGATTCGTCGAACGTCAGTGTGGGTAACAATCTTTTATCGAGGAACGAAAAGCGTATAACCAGATTGGAACTTCTCGTTATTGCATCAGACGACTGGACAAGAAGAAAAAGTAGAGAAATAATGGAAGGGAAAAAAGAAAACAAGGAAAAGAGAAAAATGAATCGAACTGGCTTTTTCGCGATGTAAGCGTAATCTGAAACGATCGCGAGACGTATTCAGGGTCGGCTTTGACGCAAGTGAGATACACGCAAACGCGCACGCACGTGCACCTTCCTTTTGTCTCTCTCCCGTGTATATACGTCTACGCGACAGACGTGCATATGTGAGCGAGCGTGCATGTGTTCGCGAAAACCACCGGGTCATAACTTTTGCAATTTCACGCGAATACGTATCTGCATTTTATGCAGGCAAATTAGGGTGTGATGAATCAGCTAGTCTTAAATATTCGCCTATCGACGCATTCCGTTTTATACGATTACGTGACCTGATCGTTGATAAATTTCTCTTTCAGGCCACGACTTGTTTATAGATGCGTAGGATGCGTATGATATGTACAAAAATGTTCAGAGTACAGTGTTAAAAAAAAAAAAAAAAAAAAAGAATGGATGAAACAAATCTTCAACTGCGCTTATAAAAATACGAGTCTGTGTATAAAAATTGACAGCCCGATAGCAAATTGTTTAATTGCAATTATAATTAATTTAAACGATATTTGTTTCAGAGGACGGGATTTTTTCGACAACCAATACCTTATAGTAACATGTCGGATATACGGAAATATGCTGTTACTAGATGGGATCCTACTTACAAGAACTGCCTTAGCATAGTTCTACCAAACAGTTCTCTTCTTCTCCAAGCGAATAATGCTTACACGAGGGACCAATGGTATCATTCGATACTATGGAAGGTACCCTATCCTTCGTACAATACTTTTGATACCGATATTTCTAAGTACTTAAATAATATACTTAACTAAAATATTACTATATTACTAAATTACTAAATACTACTACTAAAATACTAAATACTACTTAAATATTACTATATTACTAAATACTTAAATAATATATTTATAATATTTATAATAATTAAAATATTACTATATTATTTAAATACTAAATAATAAACTATATTATTTAAATACTAAATAATAAATTATATTATTTAAATACTTAAATAACATATTCAACTAAAATATTACTATATTATTTAAATATTAAATAATAAACTATAATATTTAAATACTTAAATAATATATTTAACTAATATTACTATATTATTTAAATACTAAATAATAAACTATAGTATTTAAATACTTAAATAATACATTTAATATATTTAATATTTAATATTTAAATATATTTAACTGTACTTGATCATAAGTACTATTTTAAAATACGTATTTGGACTTAACTTTTTAAGTAATCTGTAAAAAAATGTAAAATTCTTTTCGAAAGATGAAAGAACTTGAAAAATAAAATCACATGTATATCATGTAAACAGAAATATATCTTAATATCTTAATAGATCTTAATATATATGTGATTTAATATCTCTGAACGTTTAATTTTCAGAGGAGCATCTTCAAATACCAACATCTTGTATCTCTAAATACTCGAGAGGAGGTGATCATCAAAGAATTGAAATCTATGGTGGATTTCGCTTTATGGACGTCACTCCAGGACGAAAGAGTGTCCGTAGCACCATTGGAAGCTGTTGCAAAGCATCTCGAGGACCTAGTCGTCGAAGAATCGTCCGAGAAATATTCAGAAAAATCGATCGAAGAAATTTCTCGGTATCGAAACGATCGGAAACATTGGGCGGAAGCTGTCCTATCCGTGGTGTCTCCTCTTTTAGACAAAGTCGCACTTCCAGTCTGTCTGACGAGGGTCCTTGTGAAGCTGGCACAACAGCATCCACAGTCCTCTTTGGTCACAGCTATAACTCCAGCGATTACGAGGTGTCTCAAGCATACAGTGGATTTCGGCAAATCCCTGGACATGAGGAAATTGTTGCAAGTATTTATAGCTGCTCTGTATATTGCGGATGGCGAACAAGCGATCAGAGATTATATTGCTTCGGTTCATGGACCTGGAAGTGACTGTCCCCATCCCAGGGTGCTTGCCAACTTGGTGTCCGTTTGCGTCGCAGCGATTTTTCATAGGTGAGACTTATCCTTCTGTTCTTTTTATAGATAAGTGTTATAGACAACTTATTAACGTTGAATATAACGGCTGAACTACAGCAAATTTCTATATCTTTAATTTGACTGATTGACAGTGAAAAGACTGCTGTAAAGATAAATGAGTAGAAAAAATTGATACGATATTGATAAAAAATATGATGATGGTGTTTATTATGTGGAATGATTTTATTAAAAAAAAAAAAAAAAAGGACTAATTACACGTGGCGAGTACGTCGTTGCAAATTGCGTGACTCGCTCTGCATTTTATCCACGCTTCATTAAAGCGTATCAAAGGCACGATCGTTCTGGAGTACCTTGTTTGAAAGTGCGGAAACTGAACCCTTTAGCAAAGAATGTGAAACTTCATTTAACTACTTCAGAACAATTTTGTGGAAAATATCGCATAGTTTCACGTTTTGATAACTTAGTTTCATTTTTGCTTTTCTTCAAAATTTCAACCGCAATGTAACGTAATATTGTTTAAAAATACATTCATCTATCATACCTCTTTATCGCCAGTCAAAAGAGATATGCATTCGAGGTGAAGTATTTTATTTTTAACTTGATGCAAGCTTTATGCTATCTTACAAATATATTCGTCGAAATAAACAAATAAATGGAAATAAAATGTAAAAAGCAGCTGTTACGTAAAATAAATTACATACAGTTAGAAAATATTCTTCCGTGCTGTGAATGGAACACGAATTAATGGAAGTAATCAAACCGATCATCATTCTAACATTTCGTTCAATTGCAGATTCGAAGTGGCCAATCGTTCATTACCGGAAAAAGAAAAATCACCGACTTTGCCTCCGTTGGATTGTTATCTTTTGGTATTAAATATCGCGTAAGTTTCATCATGTTTCATTATACATATCGTCATATGTACAATATTTTTTTACAAATATATGTCTTTCTCTTTCTGTAAAATTTGAAACCATAAGAGCTCGCTATTTTCTTTTTTCTTTTTTTTTTTTTCTAGATCAGAATATGCTGATTGGAGGCCAGAATTTGGTGCTTTATTGCAACCCGTGCCATTTCCAGAGGAAGCTTTTGCCGTGAAAGCGGTCCAACAATCGATATTAATGTGCGTGATCAGTCGTTTAGCGAAAGACGCAAGATGCGTCGTGCATCGCGTTCTACTTCCGGTTAGAGAGCCCAGACCTGGATGGATCCATATTGTCGCACCATCTAGTCCAGATTGCCCCGATCAAGGAGAATTGTTTGGTGAAATGGTAATTTTTCATTTTCATTCAGAGTAATCGGAATGGAAATAAAATTGATATTACTTTTTTCCTTGGTACTTATATCACCATCTTTCATATATGTATCACGTAACATTAACTTCTTGTTTTTCACTCCCAGTTAACTACTTTATTGGCATGTTGCTGTCGAAGAAAGAAATTTATCAACTGGCTGATGAAACAAGTACGCGACGATTGTATATTATTGGCAGTGAGAGGTTGTGAAGCTGCGCAAGAGGCTCTCTGCTTAATGTTAGAATGGCATTTGTTGTCGAGTAAAGAAGCGAAATTGCAAATAGTCAGTGCGTTAGAATCGACCACTTCGGGGAAGGAACGTTACGCTGCTCTTTGCCAAAGGCAGAGGAATTTGCAGCAACTAGTATGTAAATTGAATTAAGTTGGATAAGCATTTTTCGATGTATATGTTAATCATTTAATGATAATATTACTATGAATTTTATTCTACCGTATAACGTAAATTTTCTCTTGTTTTTGAAATAGCTCCGGAAAGGAGGTCCTAGACGATTGACGTTACCAGCCCGTGCCACAGATGCGGATGTCGCTCTTATTCTAAGCGGAAGGGCTCTTGGCAGCCTGGAATACCTCAGTTTGGCCTTTACCTCGGTGACTTCAGCTTGCGCCGAGCAGCTGATCAAATTACCAGCGTTGAGGCATCTGAACTTGTGGGCCACGCAGTTCGGCGACGCTGGCCTACAAATGATCAGCGAGCATCTACAGAAATTACAGGTTCTGAATCTTTGTGAAACCCCTGTTTCTGATAAAGGAATTTCTACCTTGGCCTGTAAGTAAATATTAAACTTTAATATCATTGTACTTGAAGAAAATGTATTTTAACGTGTGACGAAATTTTATCTATATACTTTTCGAGAAGAAATTTTTATTTATTTTTACATACACTGTTTCTCGATCAAACTCGATGTTTATTCAATTTATTCTAACTTGCAGCATTAACGAATTTAAGGAAACTGAATCTAAACAGTACGAAACTGTCCGTTCAGACATTCGAATCTCTGAAGAAGTGTTTACCAGCTTTGCAAGAGTTTGATGTGAGATACACGGACGCTTGGTAGCCAGAGCTTTCACCTTATATTCAGTCGAACAATTCCAGCAACTCCAGTATCAAAGAGAAAAGACAAAGTTAAACGAGAGTCAGACGAACGAGGAGAAAGATTCAGATAGTAAAATGAATTCATCAAAGAATTTTGTGACATCTCATGTTGTTTCATCGAAACATAACATGATGATACACAGAATATATCGTAACCGGGGAAGTATCTCTTAGAACTATAGTTAAGAGTATCGATAGTTCGAGTCCCAAATAGGACATCATCATCCTCGTTCATGCGAGAATGAAAGATATTCACAATCGTTATTAAGATTGATTAAAAAAAAAAAGATGGAATGTACGTGTCTAGGACCACAATAAAAGCCTGAAAGAATCACAAGATTTTACTCGCTGGAGAATCGTAGCGAGAAAACTTCCAAGAAGTGTCGCTAACTGCCCAAGAACTGCTGTAGTTTCGATATAAAGAAAAAAAAAAAAGAAAAAAAGAAAGAAAGGAGATAATAAAGAAGAAGGTGTTCGAGGACACGCATCGAAGTTAGAATAGAACGAGAGTGGAAATTCGTAGCGACTCTATAAATAGTTGATTCATATGGGAAGAAGTAAGAGGACATCGAGAGATCATTTTCGATGGCGCAGGGACTTGCTTTTCGGCGATACGAGTTCGAATTATTACTTGACCGAGCGCAAGTCTCCAAGTGCCTTGCCTTTTTCCTGACTCCTACGTATTACGTTTTACTTTTATTTTTTAAATCATTAATATAATTTATTGATATTATAGTAATTACTAGAATGTAGATCGTTTAATTTATTATTTGGATATTTCTCGAATTTTTATTCATCACAGGATGTTATTATATTTTATAACGGTTATTTATTAAAGTCATTGTTATAGAACTTGTTCTTTTCGATGTACTTGAGTCAGTTTGTTTTCTTTCTTCTTTATTTACTTTCTGGTAAATAGACGCGTTATTCTAGAAAGACGTTTCTTCGAATGTGATCTATATAGTTAAGTAAATGTAGTTTTATAAAGGGAACAGAAATATGCATTTAATTGAGATTCAATTTGATTACACAGATATCAAAAAGACACCGGTAAGAACTGATTATGAGTGAAAATAGATTCCTGTGTGTGTATTTTTTATTTCGGTTCGTTTTTAGTTAGACGATCGAATAAAATAGCCAAAGGACTCGTCCGTAGTGACTTGTTCTTTTAATATACATTTTAAATCTCGTTATTAAGATATTCAACTAACAAGATACTATCTTAAATCTAATGATCAAATCTATAAAATTTGAACTATGTGTACACTATCGACAAAAATATATATTTCTCGATGAAGATATATATTGGGTGTTAGAGAAAGAATGGAAAACTTTTGACAGTATGTACAACAGTACTTGTCGAAATATTTAAGTAATCATAATACAATTTTCATCGTTAATAAATTTTATTGGATATAAATGAAAAGAAGGATATACAATCATTCATGGTTAAAGATGTGTCTCAGTTTAATTTTAATTCCATATTCAAGTAATAATCTTTTTCTTGCCTAGTTTGGCAAGTTACTATTTCTGAAGTTACCACTTTCTTCGACACCCTCTATATCAATAGTTTCGACCAAACATAATTTGACAATGTTGATTTCGTCGAACGAAAGATTTATACGAATTAGTCGTACAAACTTCCTATTGAAGATGAGGTGTTCATTAGTCTGTTCATTACTGTACATTCTTATGTGCAAGTGAAATCGAGGAAGAACATTTTTGAAAAGAAAGTGAACGTAATGCGAACATGTATAGGAAAGTTGAAATGCAAAGGGACGTTTTGGATATTAAACGACTTTAGCACTATAACAACCAGACAGGTTCTCTTAGAGTCATGTCACAGTAGTTGTTACAGTGTTAATATTGCAATGATCAAACAACACGTTTGTCATTTTTGCTGTTTAACATATTTGTTCGTACCAAATTTTTATACCCTTGGTTCATTCGTTAAACAAAAAGTTTATTGTCGAGAAATTTACTATTTACAGGAAGTCGAATATTACACTTAACATCAAAATTACCAATAAACCAACTTGTAAATTTTCATAAAAATTTCATTTCATAATTGAGGAAAATTGAGTCCCTTTACGTTACGACTTTTGTCCGTGTATCAAAGGAAAAACATAAACGTTGTCGTCGTGCGAATTAATATCAGATTTATTTATTTTATCTATATTATAGCTGGTACGCTAGGAAACAAATACGAATGAACTTCTTATCGAACGAGAGTGTGTTCTCGAAGAAGATTCTTTGCAGATGATTCTTGCTCTTTTTTTCTTTCGTTTGAATAGCGCTCAACTGCCTTAGCGATCAAGCTCTGAGCGACCACTGCCATAACGCGTGCGAACCAGAACAGGCTCAACTGTCCGTTGCACTCGTTAAAATCGAGTTTTTCGTTTAAATTTTAACTCTTCGGGTGTTTCGAAAATAATGCTCGGCTGCAAAAAATATCCGACGTTTTAACTTCGTGTTACAATCAATTTCGAATTGATTAACTTAATCGTTCGAAAGCATTCGATCATCTTTCTTCTGAGAAATATTTTAGAGACATCTTATTATTAAAAGTAACAATCATTTTCTCTCTAATCAATAGAACACGTATGTATAATGTAAAAATTCTGATGTTTAGGTAGTATCTCCTATATTATCTGTAATTTTGTTTCCCGAGCGTTTTATTTTTTGCAGTCAATTCATGTTTATATTGTTTCCCTCGTTTTCTAGTTTTTTTTTACATAAAGTATAGTTTTGAGGTTTGATCAGAATTTTTCGAAACACCTTATATACGTGAATCGTGCGAAACGAACTTTACTCTAAGACTCGGAGAAATTTATATTATTAAACTTCGTCGATTGACTGTCTTCTCGCTTATGACGAACTAAAATACATATTCTACTTTTCTTCTTCCATTTTTTCTTCTTCTTCTTCATCTTCTTCATCTTCTTCATCTTCTTCTTCTCCTCTTTCTTCTTCTTCTTCTTCTTCTTCTTCTTCTTCTTCTTCTTCTTCTTCTCTTTCTTTTTCTTTAGTCACAGAATACGCTTTTAAAAAAATCAATCAGAAACATTTTACAATTAGTAATATCATATTTTCTCTCTGACAACTCTAAGAAAATATAAGATTACGAACCCATTAGCTGTCAATTTCTATTTTCTCTGATTTTCATTTTAATGTATTTAATCAAAAAATATATTTAAAATATTCAGTGCATATATTTTCAAGAAGCATGCATCTTCATTTGGAAATTACTACTGAAAGAATGAAATTTATTCACAGATTTCTTTTTATAATCCTTCAAATTGCAGATAATGGGTTAATTAATAGAGCAACGTTAGTATTTTATTTTTATTGAAATTTCTGTATGTAACATAGATGGAATGCCAAGGAACAAAAGAGTATGATATTTTAAAAGTTTATAGTAATACCAGTGTGCTATAAAAATTGTAAAAAGTACTATAAACTTTCAAAGTTACAAAATCTTTGTTTTTTCAACATTCTATGTATGTTCGATTCTAACAATAAGTAGATTATTCATTTTGTAAATATCTTTATTTGTAAGTATCTTGTACATGCTATTTTATAATAGTTGTATAATATTTATTCGGCCTCTTTCGATGGTTAGTGCATTTAAAATACAACTTCCATTTCCTCGATATTCTGATTTATTAAAAAAAAAAAAAAATTAAAAAAAAAGGATTCCCTCAGAAAAGGAATTGCCGTAGTTTCGACAAATCGTATCTATATGTTCCTTAGTGTAAATATAAAGTTAAATTGCATTTTTAATTACGATCTCTAGACTTTGACTATTTATACATAATAACGAAATTTTACGTTCCGATGCAAAATATTGACGTAGCATATTGAATAGATAGGAGAACTCATAAGCAAAGTGGTTTGTCAAAACCAAATAGTTTTCTTTTCAAGTATTTACCTTGCTTCGTGAAGAGTATTATAAATATACTTTTATAAAAGTATATTTGCAACTTTTTGTAATTGCGGCAAGAGATTATTCCTCTCGTTCGTCCTTCAATTTATGCGATTAAACATTATACTTGAATTATTATTTTTTTTATAATTATTTATTCAAGTTGAAAACTTATCGTTTTGATTTTTCCTTGGAAAAAATTTGACGAAAAGAAAAATTGATTGCTTCGAAGAATATATTTTTACAATATATACAATTATTTTTATAATGTGTACGTAATGTTTCCTTATCTTTTCTGTTTATAAATTGCAACGAATGTGGATTAATAGGGCACAAATGGGAAAATTTGTTAAGTAAATTTATCGCATAAATCGGAGAAAGAAGAGTGCAATAAAATCTTATTCACGATAGAAAATGTCTTTTTTTTTTAATTTGTAATGGGCCTAATTATCGTGTACACTTGTGCGTTATTTATTTCGATATTTATTATATTTATTTGATACCTCGCAATATACAGCACATCATTAATAAACTATGCCCAATTCTTCATCCAAACACAACAGGTAGAAATATTTTGACAATTGTTCTTTCTATCACATACAATGTTCTTTCTAACGTCGTTGATCAATTTCATGAGAATTACATTTCCTTTCATAACATTTCAATATAGTAATGATATTTTAAGAAAGTAAATTTACATTTAACTCTCTGTAGTAGACATTTTCTTATACGAATTCTCTATATATGTATAGTTTTTTCAATATCGTGAAGAGCTTCGTTGTTTCATAATGTTGTAAGTAAGTAGCCATTTCGTTAGAGGAAAGCACAAAAATGTGGGAAAACGTTTTAAATGTGTACGATGTATACCATTGAAACGACGAATTTTTTCAGGCACTCCGATCGACTTTGTCAATCACTTAAAAAAAAAAAGAGGGAACGATTTAGATGTGCGTTTTTTGAACTGGTGATGACCAATTGTAAGTCGATTGTGAAACGTGTAATTTAGCTATAAAAACTGTTTCGAAACATTAAAGATTAGAATCATTCATTATTAGAATGAAAAAAAAAAAATTTGAAATTTAAATTAATAAAGTTGGAAAATTTAAGATATAAATTAATTAGTTTAAAATTTATTACATTTTAACGCAAATTAGACTTGTTTTTTTAAAGTAGAAGGCAACGAAAGCACGTGAAACTATTTTTGGATTATTTATGTACACATACCTACATATATGTATACAGGATATCAAAGAAGAATCTAACATTTCGAAAATTTACTATCTATTGGAAATCTAGAAGATAATTGCTTAGATAGTATTTGTTATGTTTATTGTTTTTAAATTGCGAAATTAATCATGCATGCTTCTTTTATTTAATTTCAATTTTTAATATTATATATTCCTGAAGCTTTTAGAAATGTAGATTTTTCTCTTCCTGTATATATTGTCATAACTACCAAATCAAATTGCAATTATATTACAATTACATTGCAACAAAACAATCATGAAAAAGAACAGTTCTTGCTAATTACTATGAATTAAACTAGTAACGTTAACATTGCAAACTTAGACGATCCAACCATCTATATTGTCAGCTTATTTATCAATTTATTTCATGTATTTAATTCTTATTAGATTAAAATTAGGCAAAGCAGAAGACATTTCTAAATATTTTAGAATTAACTTCTGCTGCTTTTGACATTTAATTTTAAACCTACGACTCTCACCCAAAATTAGCGAAAGTAAGAAATCTAAAATTATCCATTTCTCATAAAAGCTAAACTAATCTTTCATACGTCTCTGCACACGTCTACACACCAAATCGTGATATAATAAATCTAATGAATCTGATTCGAATCGTTCGAAAAGCGCACATTTAATCTTAGTCTTCCCCTGTTAATTGTAGGATTAAGCGTTCATTGCACACATTCCGCAAGATATAATCTATTTTTAAGATATTTCCCTCGTATAGATTTTACTCGTCCTTAACTGATGAAGGTTCATTAAAAGGTATTTGTCACGTTGTATCTTTAATTAACGTACACTTAAATGTTACAAAACTTGAAATTCAAAAAAAAAAAGAAGAAAAGAAAGAAATAAAAGAGGAAATGAAACGCGAAATTTCAGAATAAAGTTTGGCCACATGCGAGTGAAAAATCACAAATATACATGTAGGCAAAGAATATTTTTCAGTTTTCACTGTAAGAAACGAACCAAATCCGTGATACCCGGTTTAAACAGGCGACATTTGTCCAAGATAATGAAATAAATTTCGAGAAGCAATTGATAGATTTATATTAATCGTAATAGATAGATTGTTGATTGTACTGAGATCTTATTTCGTTACTCATCTCTACGTCCACTTCCCTTTTCAAGTTCTCCGGCAACTCATTCCATACTGATTGTGGGACAGTTTCTGAAAAATTCCATAAAAGTTGAGAAATCTTATAGAGATAGAGGATTTGTTTTTTGTTTTCAAAGTACGAATGTTTATTAGATTATTATTCAGTTTAGATTGTCGATTTGTTAATATTTTGTATATCTTCTTTTTACACAAATTTAAATTAAATACTGGTTACTGTATTGAAAAAGAAACTTGAATCTTTATACCAATTTTATCACTGAACCATTAAACACGAAAATACTAGAGATTCTGTTTCGCAATTTCACATCTAAATATAATCTAAAAGTTTTGTGTTGAATTGTAAATAGTTAAAGAATGTATATATTTTATTTCTTGAGATCACTTCATTTCTTCTAACTAATAATGTCAAAACTAATGTAAATTCCATTTCGTTAATTATTTAATTCTTGATTCTTGCATCAGCTTTACTTATTAAATCTTCAATAGCCATACAAACAAAAGCTTACCTTTACACACGTATAGCAAATTGGACCAAGTGATCTTTTCTTGGGAGAAACAGTAAACGCCCAATTTGCCACCTTTCAGCGTCGAATCGTAAACGTTCCCCGAGTCGGCCATCAGCTGTTTCCCTTGATAAAGTCTAAACCTAATCAGACCGATCTTGGGTCTATGTAATAATTGCCATCTATACGGGGTTCTTTCTTTCCATCCGATTTTCTTCGGATCGTGCCAAAGGATCTTCACTTGATTGGGTGTATCTTGATTATGCCAGAGACTGTTCCTAAGAATTTCTCCAGGCCCTGTGCTCGAGTCGACGAGTTTCAAGAAAATTCCAGGATCCCCTACCGCTCTGAATGGCGTCGGCATCCAATACGGTTGTTGACGCTTTTTCCAGGATACGATATAGAATCTACGGTTGTCCTGATAAGAAAACACGAAACCAACAGAGTCGTCGTCTCCGTCGTCGTCCACGAAGAACGTACCCTCGAAATCTACACCGCTGAATGTATCCGGACCTGTTGGTGAAGATTTGAAGTTAAGAGGACGAACGAGTTGTAGTAAATTCCTTCTTCAACATGATCGATAATTAAACGACAATCTCAAGGAAACAAAATTTCATGTACTGTACTTTTAGTTGATATGAATTAGTATAAATTACCAATGGCAATCCCGGGGTCACTGTTCACAAGCTGCTGGATCTCAGCGCCTTCGTTGTGTATTACCCAAACAGGATCTTCCTGAGCAGTGCCAACAGGGTCTAGAGCAATTGTAGTATACTTTCTAAAATCTGTCGTCCAAATCAAACTGTTGTTGGGACAATTGTCAAGTGTATTCTTCACAGTGTCGTTATCATTGTCGTTCCAGCAAGCATCACCAACATGCTGATCTGAAATGACGCGTAACTTCTTTTCAGATTCTTACATGATAATTTCTACCAGTTTCGATGAGCACTTCACTTACGATGAGTGTGACGTTGATCTGGATTATAAACATAGGGACAATTGTCAATCGAATTGGGCACACCATCATTGTCCATATCATCGTCGCATTCGTTCCCTCTGCCGTCGTGGTCGTCGTCATTTTGTCCTGGATTCGCGATGTCAGGACAATTGTCTCTATCGTCTTGCACACCGTCTCTGTCCCTATCGTTGTCGTTGTCGCAAGCATCGCCTACCCCATCCCCGTCTTGGTCCGATTGGTCCTCATTATAGCTGTAAGGACAGTTGTCACAGGCGTCGCCAATACCGTCCATATCTTGATCACCTTGATTTGGATTCTTTCTTTTCGGACAGTTGTCTTCGTTATTGAAAATACCTATAAAATTTGAAATGTTATTTACAAAAGTACGTAATCAATTACAAAAGTTACGTAATCTTTTTAGAATTAATGCGTTGATTAATTAAGTTTATCTAAAACACAGTTTTCCATTTTTTACCGTCGTTATCTATGTCGCTGTCGCAAGCATCACCGATGCCATCGTCGTCGGTATCTTCCTGCTTCGGGTTTCTCACTAGAGGGCAATTATCGCAAACGTCACCGATGGTGTCGGGACCGTCACGATCGGTGTCCTCTTGGCCAGGATTCGAAATTAAAGGACAGTTGTCCGAAGAGTTCAGAACGCCATCGTTATCAGCGTCTGGATCACAGGCATCGCCTAAACCGTCTCTGTCCGCGTCCTCTTGGCCACTGTTTGGTATTAACGGGCAATTGTCCATACGACAACGTCGATCGTGACATTGGAGGTTTCTGTCAGGAATACCATCGCTGTCTCTGTCGAGACCACAGGTCAGTCCATTTCCTGCCCATCCAACGCGACACTAAAAATTGTGTGTCTTTTGATAGAAATTCCCGAATTTCATATATAATATAATCCAATTGTTTCCTCCAGAACTTCGAAAGAACTTGAATGATTTATCTTCTTACCTTGCACGAGTACTCGGTGGTATCGATGCAGACACACTCGGCATTTACATCGCACATGGTTACTAAATCTGGACAGACACTGTGACTAGGATGACAGCCAACTGTTTGGTTCCCCAGAAAACCTGCTCTGCAAGCACCACATCTGTACGAACCCTAAAACAAAATTTACCGAGGTGAAAATGATAATATTTAGTAAAATATGTATATCAAGGTGTACAACTGCAGAAACGAAATTGCCAGTAAATCACCTCTGTATTGATGCACTCCATGTATGGATCGCATCCACCGTTGTTACTGTCGCATTCATTTATGTCCTGGCAAACTTGCTTGCGAGCCTGTGCGATCTCCAAACCGATCCCTTCGACTATCGTCCCGGTATACCCGGATGGGCAAGTGTCGCATCGAAATCCTGGACGAAGATTGATGCATCGAACACCCGGATGACAGGGCTGTGCCAACTCGCATTCATTTACGTCAACACACGTAGAACCGTTACCGATAAACCCGCTTGGGCAAGAGCCGCATCTAAAAATCATTGGATACATATAATATACAGGTCTAACTGACTGAACAAGAATATGTTCGACATGTTTATTTTCATTACCTAAAGTACGGTGGATAAAGAATTGGTTCGCATTGCACTTCCGGGTAACAAGGATGAGGCTCGCAGTGATTTCTGCGTCGTTCACAGTATTTACCATCACCTATATAACCGTTAGGGCATTTCCCACAGCTGAAAGACGTTTATTTCATTCGTTACAGTCTAGTCCATGCACGCGTGTAGTCCGTAGCCGCCTCCCTTATTTTAAACAAACAATTCTAAATTCTCGCCCTCAAGTCCCAGGTCTAGACACCACTGATGACTCTACCATCAGCTACACGTACATACACGCGTGTATGTACATCCGAAACAATATAACCGCCGACGGAACTGTGTCGTTACAATATGAAATGAAATAATTTCTACTCGTACCTATATCCATCCGCGCGGTCGTAGCAACGGACACCGTGAAAGCAAGGGTTGTGCGCGCAACTAATTTTCATGCAACGATATCCATCGCCGGTGTAATCCGGCGGGCATGCTCCGCACTGTGGTCCACGTGGCGTGTTACGGCAGTCAGCTCCCGGGAAGCAGGGCGATTTGTAATCGCAACTAGGAGGAGGAGCTGCCGTCGTGGTCGTCGGTGGAACTGTGGAATTACCAGGATCAGGAACTTGTCAGGATATCGCTATTCGCAAGAAGAAGAAACCTCATTGCGACCACATTGCGACTCGATTTCTGATTTCCGCCTGATTTTCTCGGGATACATCTCTAACGCTACAATTACTGACGATTAATCTATAACTAATTAGTCTCTACCGAAGATTAATTGGCATCACAGACTTTTTCCCACAGAGAAGAATTATAGAAGAATCAATAATCCAATTGTTCCACTTGCTGTCTCGAGTGTTTCGTATCGTTGTTACGTCATTGCAAAACAGTTGCTGCAAGTTAGTCATTTTACCATTGACAACATTGTCTTAGCCCTTCTGTGAAGAAATCTTTTATAACGATTTAACAATAGTATTCTAGTTGATTTCCTTCTCGGGTTAATCCTTGTATTATCAATAATATTCTCTTCGATTTAAGTATTAGTTTGCTTCGAGTTAAGACGCGATTTCTCCCGACTGAATTACGCAGCTTACCGATCGTTCGGATTGATTCTTGTGATTCAAGGGATTTTATTCCCAATCACTCCCTTAGAAAAATAAGAATACGAGTCACAACATTGTTCCATTTTGCAAGAAATACACATTTATTGCAATGTCAGGTCGTGTTATACATTTATGTAGATGCTCTCTCGTCGTCTATAATCATGAGCTATTGTATTTGTTACACTTGCGTAGATCATTGCTGTGCATAGAAGCAGAAAAGGAAAAAAGAAAAAGATTTCTCTCGAAAGATAAAAAAAAAAATATCGAAAAAGATAAAAAAAATGAGGGTATTGTCGAAGAACAAGTAGAAAAAAAAAACAAGAAAATTAACAATAAAGATATCTTTCGTTTATGTAATTCTTTCAATACCCACCAAGTGGTACGCGACAAGCTGCGCAATTTTCAATTAATTGCCGAAGGTGTTGTGTTTCCAGTCTCTGAAACAAAAAAAAAAAAACAAAAAAAAAGAAAGAAAAAAAACACAATCAAGAACTGTCTATTAAATATTCTTGAATAATTGACGACGTCGTTACTCACGTTCAATTCTATTTCTCTCCAGACCTTCTTAGTCGCTTCGATCAGCTCGTTCAGCGTCTTCACGATTTGATTGTCCGTCAGGCAAACTACGAAAAGTCAAAGTTTCGTTTCGACGTTTTATTAAAATCGTCAGAGATAAAAAAAAAAAAGAAAAAAGAAGAATCTAAGCGTTTCATTTCTGTTTCACCTCGATTCAAATATCTTACCTCTTTCGTCCAGACTTTGAATCCCTATGTCCCCTCTTCTCGGAACCCGTTTGTAATTCGCCTGACTCGATGCATCCAGTTCATCGTAATTATTACGACTCAATTCCGCGGATATCTCGTGACGAGGCACGACGATGCGTCCAGATGGTGTCCTCTGATGCAAACGTTTCTCGTGGCTCGGAGCAACTCCCCGATCAGCTTCAAACTCGTTCGTAGAACGATATTTATCGCGATTCGATCGGCGTGACTGCTTGAAGTCTGAATCACTGAAATCTTCGGACTGATCAGCGTCTTCGAACGTGTCTGAGACTTCGTGCTCTTTCGACCGACGACGATGATTTTCCTTGTTATTTAATTTTACGCGATATTGATCTATGTCGGACTCCTCGAAACTCTCATCCGAGTGGTTGCTCGTTGCAGGGCTTGCAATCAATTGGTGAGGTTCTTTGTGCTTGAAGAAACTCGACAACGTGTCCATATCGGCCAAATTGTCCGGACAGTTTTCTTGCTTCAGGGCGTCGATAATTGATGACAATGGATACACCTTCACCTGGCTCCTCCTTTCTCTGAACTGAAAACACGATTTTTAAGAATTAACAATTAAATTCTCTACGTCGGGGAATTATCTTCAATGGTAAACAAGTGGATTTTTACGAAACGCAACGTCATTTAGAGGAGGAGGGGGAGGGAAGCTGAGACGATTTGTATGTGAACCGGTTTTTTTTTTTTCCATGAATATCGAATGACGAAAAGAGATGAGGAGTGAGGGAATAGAGGCAGAAGAACGAAATGCTCGCCCTTTCTACCATTAAAAAAAAATTACGAATTACGCGACTTCTCTTCTATGCAGAAGAAAGTGGGCCGTGAATATTCAATAAGGATGAAGTCTGTCTAAGCGAATCGAAATCGATTCACTATGCTTAAATGCGTTACGCGAGTTAACGCAGCTATACGTAATAAAGGCGAGCAGCCTTGGACTGACCCGCCATATTTGGAATGGCATCATCCTACGAGATCTAACGTCACCGGTTCTCTCTGTTAACAGCCGTGAAATTCTTGATGACAGACGAAAGAATGTATTTTGGTCGTTTGTTCTGTAATAACAAAAAAAAAAAAAAAAAAAAAAAAAAAAACGAAAAAATTGTGAGGACAAAAGGAAAGAAGCAATTATAACATGTAAGTAATTCGCCTCGATCTGCATCATTACTCAATGTTTGAAAGGACATCTGAATTTTTAACATTTAACGTAACGTTGGCTCGAATAATTACTTCCAATATTGATGTTCCTGGGTCAAGCATCTATGTTCAAAAAAATCTTGAAGCATTTCTTCAAGGAAAATATTAATTTAAAATAAAAATTATATATAATTATATAAATATAAAATATACAAATATAATTATTTATATAAATATAATATATATTTATTAAATATTATATAATATTTATATAAATATAATTACAAAATATATAATTATAATTATTTATATAAATATAATATATATTTATTAAATATTATATAATATTAGAATATTATAAATATTATAAATATAATATTAGAATATTATAAATATTATATAAATATAAAATTTATATCCTACATATGATATTTAGATTACATTTACTTTTTAATAAACTCGGCGACATAATTCCGCTTATGAAACAAAAACTCACCGCCTCTACAAGAGAGTTATCTTCATTGTCTGCCAACTTTCGAAAGCTCTTCCTCAATGGTATCACGCCTTGGTAGACGCAATCAATGTAAACGTCCATTCGCGGATCAGGTTGATTCTGACGCACGAGGACGATTATATTTTTCAATAGAGAATTCACGTTCGGCGTTTCCAAGTTAAGGTGTTCTGCAGTTCGATGGCCATCCTTGTCGATACTTTCGAAGATCACTGGAACCAAGTAAAATTCATCAAATCAAAAACAATAACAGAGAGACGATTATTTGTGAGAACTTGACGACTCATTGTATTTCATACCTCGTTTACTTCGCCTGTCGAGTATAAGTACCAGTTTCTTCTTAGACCTTTCGTATTTCACGGCTAGAAGAATATCAACCGTTGCCTCCGATTGCTTCTTCCTCGATTTAACGTTCGATATGGCAATCACAAAATCGTTGTCCCATGTTTCTCGGAGGTTTGTCGTCAATTCTATGAAACATGTCGCAAACACAACGCGAGGAAACGTGAAATTAAATTTAAACAAATTTTTGTTGCGTTCATGAAGATTGCGTTGAAACTATTGATTTTACTTGTCGTTCATCAAACGATTGAAAGAGGATTGGTGACTTAAAGATCGTTCGACAGTTTGATCGTTCGATACCTAATTGAAAATTGGCAAGTCTACCTCCATAATTGGCAAGCATCGAAATAGTCATTTCAAGTTGAGCCGTTGTAAAAACTATTTAGCGTTCCCTGCGTGCCGTTACCGGGTTTCTTGTCGAGCTGCATGGGGACTGGTTTGCAATACCGTAAACACCCGTATGGGAACAGTTCTACGGTCACTGTTTTGCTATACTGTAAGTTTACTACTGTTTTTCTAATCGTAGGATAAAAATGATAGTGAAACACGACAGAGAAAAACTAATTCAAATAGACAGTATAGACACATGTAGTCGTTTAACGTATAGTTCATTCTATCTTTGATAGCATAACAAAAAAGAAAAAAAAAAAAAAGAGTTGCAAGAAAATTTTTACTTTATCACCTAGAGAGACAATTGAAGCAGCAACAGTCTCTGATCTTTTTCACTGATCTTTTTCCTCATGTCATTTCTGTCGATCCTCCATTTTTGTTTTTAAATCTCTTGTTCAAGTAGGCTGTACAGCAACTATGAAAAACAGAAAACACCAAATAATAATCGTCTTACCTTCATCCGGTGTAACACTCGAATCGGCGACATAAGCAACGAAGAATATCGCGGCGATCAACGACGCGATAACGTTCATTTTTAAAATCACCGTTCCCCCTCGTCTTTATTATCTTCTTTCGAATTAATCGATTATTTTCTCAAGGGATCGACCTGCCGGGTTGATTGTTCTTTTTCACGTCGTGTTTACGGTTTATTTTTACGGCGAATCGATTCGAGCGAGCACATACTGATCTTGAACGAATAAATAGATCGCGCGGACGTTGGCGGGACGTTGATCGACTGAGACATGGAAAAGCCTACCGACGACTTTATAACTCACCCACGGGAATTTCCGAGTACAGAGTCGTTGTCCGTGGCATATAGAACGAGAGGAATTGACATATCAATCGCACGTTTCGTGAATAATTAACTTTATCGACACCTCTCCTCACCATTTTCGTAATCGCGATCAAGCTGAAAGATTAAAAATCAGTGTTACGCCCTCATCTTAAACACAAAAATAATCATTAAATAGAATTTATAAGTTTTACAGAACTTACGAAAAATTATATGCGCAAAATTAATATTTATTGTTTACCCTTACTTGGTTGTTTGCCATACGTACATCATTGTTGAATTAAACAGCATAATGCAAGATACGTCATGTTGAAAGTTGTTACAATTGCATGGAATGATTCTTGTGTTCTTTTCATGCAAATAATTCTCGCAGAATGTGCGATTTAAGTTTTCAATGTATACTGTAAGGAAAGTCATCGAGATTAATCTTCCTTGATTTCTTTTTTTATAGAGACAAGGTTACTTCACGATATTTACACGCCCACGAAACTTGTCCTTTATGCAATTCAATGGTGATTCTTTCATCTCTGAGGATATTGCGATTTTAAAAATTCTTGACACACACACACACACATATATTATATACTAATTTAAAGCGAATATTGTGAATAAACTAATTGAAAGATGTATCACAAACAAGTTTATAGGAAATAAACGGACTTCCACATAATTAAAGAATCATCATTGGATTTTATGCTTACATACCAAAAAATGTATCAATTAATTCCGAGTACATGATCATGCCTAAGTTCATCAGTTTTGTGTTGCATATGAGATAGGAATATACAATAATTGTTAATATTTAATCGATTAAATAAAGATTCCTAGTCAAAGCTCTATGTGAAATTTATTGTACACACTTCCATGTTTGTAAAAAATTTTGACCTAAATTTCGAATGCACTTTGTGAGAAATCAAATGTTATTTACTGAAATACTTTGATTGAGTAGAATTTATAAATCTTCATACACGTATTTTATAGATCAAAAGGGATATAGGTAAGAAGCTGGAGGATTCAGTTCTGAGGAAACAATTGCAAAAGTTCGAAAATTGATCCTCTTAATTAATTTCTTTTACAATATAAAATTTAGGTCCATTCACGGATTCTAAAATGTTAGCGCCACGTAGCGGTGAAGCGTTGGAACTAATTGCTATTGCTGTCTTTGTCACAGACATTATTTCATTCTTTGTCTGTCGCACAATATATCTCTGTCCTCCTTGCACGATATTGTTTTCTTTGTCTACATAAAAAGTCGTGTGCTGCCATCTATTGGATTTTTACTTTTTACACTTTTAGTTTCAGTGGGAACTGAAAGGAGCTTAGATGGCAGCACCATCCAGTAGACAAGAAGCGCAATAGTGTGCGACAAGGATAGATAATATGTCTTGTGCTGCCATCTGAGCATCTCTCAATTTCAACTGGAACTAAAAAAGTAAAAAGGAAAAATCCGATAGATGGCAGCACGTGTCGCGCCGATGTGGCGGCGCGAGTATTTAAAAGAGCGAGTTTAACAGCGGCCACACTGATTTAAAATGAGGAAACAGAAAATATTTTGTATTCTCAGTTGTTAATGATTAATGGAAGCAAACGGTCGTTGTCAAATCTTGCTAAACATTAATATTAATAAATAATTATTGTTATAATTTCTTGTTAAATCTAGTAATATATGTATTTATTTATTTAAAGGAGTAAACTTCCATACCGGTAGCGCAAAATGCGTGATAGTATGTGAGAAGGAAAGATATATATTGCACGATAGACAAAGACAGCGATAGCGATTAGTTTCCAGTGTTTCACCGCTTCGCAGCGCTAGCATTTTTAGGTCCTTAGACGAAAGTTTTATTTGTAAAAAAAGGCAATTAAAAGGATTAATTTTCGAACCTTCGCAATTGTTTCTTCTGAATTTAATCCCCAGCTTTTCTCTTATATCCCTTTTGATCTATAAAAAGGATGTGTAAAGATTTAGAAATTCTGCTTCAATTGAAACACTTCGTCCAATGATGTTTAATTTTTTATGAATTATGTTTGAAGTCTGAATCAAAATAGTACATGAACATAGTTGAAGCACTAACTTTGAAATACATAAAATGTAAATTAATCGCATGAGGACGCATTGTTTATAATCGAAATACACATTAAAAATAGGAGAAATTATTTCAATCATTCACTTTATTCGAGATTATAATGTATCACGTTCTCGAGTTTATTTATAAGATCATATTTCTAATTCAAATTATTATGTTAGACCAACAATAATATAGCACAAAAATAGATGACAGATCAGGTGACTCAAAATGTAGGAAAAATTATTGTATGTCAGATCTCTATTCTTCCCTTAGTCAATGTCTGTACTTTATAATATACGGTATACAGTGCATTACAAGGTAGTAAAGCGACAGAAATGAATTTCGTAATTAAAAGAATTTTTACGAAAGTAGGAAATTCACATAATGTTATTGTTGTGCGATCTATAAATACAGAAACATTATCTCGATGGTGGTATAAGATTACGAATCAAAAACCAAAACGCAACATTTACAAAGCTGATATTTATGGACCGGAATCGTACGAAGTTTATGAAACAGATGAAAAAATTGGTTTTTCTGCATATTGCTTATTGGTAAGATAAAAACAAAAACTCTCGTAGATAGGTAATTCGTGTAAACAAGTAATTGTTTTTTTATATTATATTAAAAACAGATCATACCAATTACTGCATTTGCGCTTGGTACGTGGCAAGTTCAAAGACTTAAATGGAAAACAGACCTGGTAGAAAAACTGAAAACCCGTACTAATTTTGAACCTGTTGAGTTACCAGAGAAGTAAGATCATTGAATTACCACAATAGAATTTTATTTTGTATTATGAATATATATGGGACAATGACAAACTTTATTCAGTTTAGAAGATTTGGATACAAAGGAGTATTATCCCATCAAAGTAAGAGGAAAGTTTTTATATGACAAAGAATTTGTGGCAGCATATAGAACTCTAATAAAAGATGGTAAACCATCAGATACCTACTTTGGGAGTCAATCACAAAGAGGATATCACATTATTACACCATTTAAATTGGCAGATAGAGAGTAAGTACAATTACTCTATAAAAGGATATACTTTTAATTCTCTTTCATTCCAAAATTTAAAATATTTTCTAGTTTAACAATTTTGGTGAATCGTGGCTGGATTCCAAAAACAATGAGAAATTCACCAGAAATACAGAAAGCTAACATACAAGACGAACAAGAAATTGTAGGAATTTTAAGGTTAAAAGAAAGAAGACCACGTTTTATCCCGAAAAATCGTCCGCAACAGAATTTGTGGTATTACAGGTACGTGAAAATGTTGGTACAATAATTTCCGAATAAAACTTTGTGTATTTTCCAGAGATGTAGATGAAATGGCTGAGAAGGGAAACTCATCTCCTATATACATTGAAATGGTTTTTAACAAGAATTTGAATCAATACCCAATTGGTGGTCAAACGATGATAGAATTACGAAATGAGCATTTAAGTTATCTGCTCACATGGTACTGTTTATCTGCAGCTACTGCATTTATGTGGTACAGGAAATTTATGAAGGGAATACCATTAACACAATAAAAATAAGTTGGCATCAGGTATGCATTTAAAGGCATAAAAGTGATAGTTATCAAGAAATAGCATAACTAATGCTCTTTTTCATGTACTATTGACGCGATCACAAAAAATGTATATATAAAAATCGTATATTGTTAATTGTTTGTAAATAGTAATAAAGTAAATTACTGTGATTGTTTTATAATATAAGTGGATATTCTATATTAATAAGAGAGTATCAGTTCTTCGTTAAAAATGTCGCTTTTTATTATCATAATAACAACACTGATAACCACTACCAACAAAATTGTCAACAATGGTCATGGTATACAGTTATATTGAAGAAGTCAGCATAGAAAATACAAATATGAAAATATACGATACAAATATGAAAATACACCATGTACATGCTACATCGACTTCCTTTCTTTTTCTTTTCAGTTACTATACGTACGTATTTATTTTAGGGTAATAATTATATTACCGCTTTCATATAATTCGCATGATCATTCAAACAATGATTACAACAAGGGGACGTGTTTATTTAACTTTCTAATTTGTCGTGCCTATATCTAATTTTTCGTGATTAACAGCCGTACATCATTGTAACGACATACAATCATGGCACCCTTAGCATTTTCAGGTACCGAAAGAGGTATTACACTTCTTTTCTTTTTTTTATTGTATTTAAAAGATAAACATATATCATGTTTGAGCGTGGTGTTTAATGTACAAATTTTCACATTTATTCTAGAATAAAAAATACCCATTCAGCCAAACAATTTTGTAAATAATATATCAACTTACATAGTTTAGATATATTTGTGTCTCCAAGTGTATCAATGAAAATGATATAAAAGATTAAACAAAAATTATCGTGTTCTTAAATCGATAACGCTTCAAACTTATTGAACTGAAAATTGTCAAGTGACTCGTTATAAACAGATTATTCGCAAAATTTGTTCCGAGGAATGTGATATGCCGTAGATAATATTTCAAGTTCATTCGATATCTAGTAATATACATATTCATATTTCATGTACGTATTTTGTTTTTTATTTCTTTGTAACGAGCACCAGGATCAATGGAATTAGGAATAATCAATAAATCGCATTAATCGTAATTGTAATTAGTATCTATGCAATTAACGCTAAACAACAGAATAGATGAAATTCGCCTTATTGTCGTGCTAGGATTAAACTGGTAGACAAAAAAAAAAGCATTAACACTATGTGCACGGGAAATAATCTAATAATAAACATTTCCTACATATGTATATATTCAAACATATAGATACATAACGATTCTCCTATCTCCCTTAAAAATATGAAATATAAATAAACAAATCGTTCGATTCGTGAAAATTTTACAAAATACATTATTTGAACGAAAAAAAGGATATGACAATTATTCCTATTAAATATCGCATTCACATTTATTCTCTCCCTCCCTCTCTCCTTTTTATAGCTATATTTCTAGCAACAATTATCGAGTAAGCCTTTTATATATCCCCACAGAATACATTCGACGAAGGTACAATCACTATTGCACTATAAGATTTCTCGTCCAATTTCTCCTTTCCATCGGATGTATCCATTCGAGAATAGTTTCGAGGTTTATTCATTTAAGAGGCAAGTGCGTACCAGTGCATTGGTCACCGAGTACGGGTCACAGTTGCTGCTGGGTCTTCTATCTTCCAAGTAACCCCTCTTACTCTCAGCAACACCTCGAGGTATACGGATACTAACGTTACGATTGGCCACGCCGGCACTGAAATCGTGTATGTTGCTTGTCTCGCATTTCCCAGTCAAACGACGCTCGTTGTCCTTTCCTCCGCGTGGGTCGTACGCTTGGATGTGCCTGAGGTGCTGTTTGCTCAATTTGTCGATCGCTTTCTCAATCTCGGCGATACCGTTTTCGGCGCGCATCGCTTTCGTCGAGAAGTTCGTGTGCGCACCGGCACCGTTCCATGAACCCTCCACGGGTTTCGGGTCTAAAGTGACGATCACACCGTACTCCTCAGCCACGTGATGAAGAATAAACCTGGCGACCCATAAATCATCTCCGGCCGATATTCCGCTACACGGGCCGACCTGGAACTCCCATTGGGAGGGCATGACTTCCGCATTAGTACCTGCGATCTTCACGCCAGCGTAAAGGCAAGCTCGATAATGCGCCTCGACGATTTCGCGGCCGTATACTTTGTTGGCGCCTACGCCGCAATAATACGGCCCCTGAGGACTAGGAAAACCATTTTTCGGCCAGCCATACGGCCTACCATCAAAATCAAGGAAGGTATACTCCTGTTCAATTCCAAACCATGGATCTTGATCCTTAACAGCCTCCATAGCCTCGTTACATTTGAAACGTTTGTTTGTCGTAGTCGGGGTCATGTCACTGTAGTAAGTATCACAGAGCACTAGCTTGTTATTTCCACGACGAAATGGATCATTGTAGATCGCCACCGGGCAAATGTATATCTCGCTATTAACGCCATCCGCTTGGTACGTCGAGCTTCCATCATACGTCCATATCGGCAGTTCTAGAAACAAGAAATCGATCGTTTATTTTACTTTTACTTTTATGATGACTTGTACACTATGAAATATTATATTTTATATATTAATGTTCTTAAAGAGTAGTTGAGATAAGTAATTTATTAAATCGGCTATAGACATTTAACAAATGACGAAGGTAAAATAGTATCAAATAACGAGAAATTTTCTTTGTCAAAATTAATAAGTCATTCATGAATTTTAGTTATTGATGAATTCATGTCTTTGCAAATATTAATGAAAGTTCTATTTGTACCATGATTAAAGATTGTTTTAACATTGGAAAATTTAAATACATTTGACATCGTTCAATAATGTTCGATAAAGTTCAAACAACCGTTTCAGTCGTTGCAATCGATTTCATGCAACTTCTCATCGTCAACATTGAAACGTATTCCTGTGAATTCTACGCGCCGCAGATGTTAATGGTTTTGTAACGCGCGCAGAATCTTATGAATAGAGGCGGATATTATTCCTAATGCTGATAAACGTTTGAGATTGATGCATACGCGTCAAGCATACGAAGAATTTGAACTATTCTATACACTGTACTTTGTTATTCATTACACATTCGCTAATATTCATGATATATTATTCGTGACGCTCGCTCGAATCGCATGCACCAATCGAAAATAAAGAAAAGAATGAAAGTCAAATATCTCAATATGCGAGCGATCTAACGTGCCTGAAATATTAAATGCGATCGTCAAACGTCGTTTCTATCATGGTACGATACCTCGATTAGATAATGTGCCAGTTGTGAGATAATTTAATATTTTTGTAACATACGATTTAGAACATACGATGTTACGTCATACATACATATATATATATATATATATACATATATCTAGTCACGTGATTAGGAAGTGCACGTATGTCGAAATATTTATATATGCTATCAACATAAAAAATAGTTTTGACTTTCGCAACGAATTTTAATTACAGATGCAATTACTTAATTCGATGCTCGCAATCATTGTCATTTATTTATTCGATTAATTGTGCCGGTTATCCTCGCAGTTTAAATTATTCTGCAATTTGAAATTGATATTAAATAAGTTTTCTTTCTTTTCTTTTTTTCCTTTATAATTTTCATTTTTTTTTTTTTTTTTTTAATTATAATTTCTCGAAATATACATAAACAGAGTGACACAGCAATTATTTAATATCTTGCGCACCCTGAAATATGTTTACATATTCAACCTTCGGGTTCAAAATTTAAAAAAAAGAAGACAAATTCTAGGATTGTCTCTGAAATTTAAAATATTCTTATTCCAAGAGCGACATTTAAATTATCTTTTCAGAGCTATAAAAAGATACTGACCTGACGGATGTTTCGGTACGAATTCTACTGTCCTAGTCTTGCATCGCAAACCCTCACCGGTACCATCGATCCAGATGTACTTCGCCTGAATTTGATTTTCTGGTTGAGGCAGATCAAGATATTTATTTAACAAGGTCTTGTCTAAGGCTGCGTTCGGCGACTCCTTTAGCGTAAGACGTGACATTGTGATGCTGCAACATGATAAGAACTGTATTATATACGAATGTCGTTTAACATAGCGCAATTACACCACCAAACAATCCACCCACATCAGAGCATCTATAACAACACGTTATACGATAGTTCATTTATCCAATATCTCGATTCTCCTCCGTTATAAATAGGACATCGCAACGAAATAACGAAAGTGTAACTTGAAAATTCGATTATGATTATCCATTGATCAATATCGACTAAAGATTTCGATGTTCGAATCGTTCGTTTCGAGATTTGCGAGAGGATATCGATTCTGAATTTTGGCGAACAGTGGCGCCGTATAGCGGTGGAAACGCGCACGTTCTCGTCGCGATGTTAAGATTCACTCGTATGTATCAGATGCAGAAGTAAACTGCATAAAGGATCCTCTCGATTCTCGATTTATTCTCGGTGGAACAGAGAGGTGCGCCTCACGTATCACGCAACACGCATCGGGCATCACGCGGTACGCACGCGGGGACTGCGTGCTCCTCCAGCCCCCAAACAGTGTACATACTTATACGCATGCTGTTAGTCGCCCACGAGCGACGTACCGGGACGATCTTTCTCTTAAAGTCTTTAACCGATAAACCCTAGTTACGCACGTGCAAATATTTCCAACATTTTGAAGGTCAAATCGAACTATTTTTAAAAATTTTTCCCTTTGTTGCTCGGACGGTGAATATACCCGTTGAAGCCAGTATATCCTCGTGTATGGGGAATGTATATAATAAAGTATACATATACATACACTAACACTTTGGTATGCATCTTTTTATTAATTTTAGAAAGGCTTTGTGTTACCAACATCTTCAGATGGTTGTTGAAGTTACGTGAAAGTAAAAATAAATACTGGCAGAATAAATAAGCCCACGATGAATCCTCTTCTATAGGCATGTAACATCAATTTTATATATTCAGTAATGTATTTGATTTTGTAATTGTCGCATAAGTATATTTAGTGATTTGGTACTTAATGAAAATTTCTATTTCAAATAACATTAATTGCGTAACCGTTTAAATAATAGCCATTTGATTAAATGTGAAAAATTTGAATATATTTCAAATTAATCGCGATATCTAATCTAATGTTTACTGATAACAAATATATTTTTCTCTACGAGGGGAAGTTATTTGAATCGAGCAAACCATCATTGTTTACAGTGAAAACTATTTTTAAAACATTGAACATCATCTCAACTGGTGTCGTTGGATCGTAAATGATTTGGATTAAATTATGTAATTTGCTTTTATATAATTTTTAATTTATTGTCACCTCTGTTTTATTCACTTCATTTTCAATTAATTCGTATCTAAATTTTACTAAATTGCTATTATGAAACCACAGCGTGATAATGACTCTCAAATTTAATCAAAATGATCTTCTGTGAGTAATCTTTTTAATAGTTTCCTCAATAGGTACTTCAAGTAACTTTCCAAAAAGTTCGTGGACATTCTAAAGTAAGTATTATCTTTGTAATTGATCAGAGGCAAAAGGCTTCTAACGAGTGATGGCATCGATCAAATAAACAAGTATATCATCTTTTTGAATTTATGTTCTGATTAGTAAAAATTATCTAATACTTTAAAATATATATCTAATACCTTAATCGACATTAAAAAAAGCGACAATAAAATCGCGAAAAAAAATATAATAGAAATTAAAAAAAGAAATCTGCATAAAATTGTATACAATCAAGATTTTAAATTTATAAAAATTATTACGATTAAGATGATTAATAAAATGTTAGAATTGTCAACTTTAAATAAAAAAGGAGCTGTATTCGATTTATGAGAATTAACTGATACATACACTTGAATAAAAACACTTAAAATATTCTAAATATTATATTTTTACTTTAAGGTACTAAGTAATAAAATGAAACTTATGATAAAAAGAGGTTAACGAAACTTATGATAAAAACATATTGATATTTTATCTAACAATAATCAGAAATGAGAGAACAGTGTCAAGAACCAAGATTTTGAACCTGTCGTTCGCTTGTGCATCATCAAAACAAACCCCGTCTTTGATATTCAATATAGCTGTATGTTTCAATACATAGTTTCGTAAATTTTATTATATTTAGGATATCTTTTCAATAATTGTGTTTTAAAAATAAATTAAATTATTAAACATACGATTTAGTGGGTTCGATGCTAGGATCAATTAAAATCAAATAGAATCAATCAGATTAAGCTTACAAGCAGTTAATTGAATCTCATTTGTCATTTCAATCATTATTTGATTGTATATACTTCATTATTTCCTTGTTTCCGTTATCACTTTCTTCATTTCCACTTGGATTTTTCCTACACTACGTTGATCAATTACAATAGCAAACTTACTAACCTAAAACATCTGCCGATGGTGATCCATTTCAATTTTGAACAGCAACGTTTTTAAAAAAATCTAGTTCCACACAATTTTACTAATATGTTCAAACCCATTGTTAAACGAAGTTGATAAATCTTTGATTGGTTGATCCACGTTTGTGATAAACGTTGTGAAAGTTTCGTTTAATTTATTCGTATGAAATGGGCCGATTTTTAAGAGAACAAATAATTACTCTTCAGTTTTGTAAATAAATGTAAATAAAGCTTGAAAGAAGAAAATGGATGGGAAACAAATTTTTTAAAAACCAAGGATGTGAAGAAGTCACATAGGATCAACTTCATTAGGTCACTAGCACAGACTATGGCAGATATAATTTATATGGCTATCCCTACCAACCTAAATTCCAACAAGAATACCGGTTTCATTGTATTTCGAGGTAAATTTTAAATTCATATCTACTTAATCGTTTCTACTTGCGATTTTGTTTTATATATCACAATGTACTTGTTATTTTATTGCTTTGCTTTCTCTAACAACTATATGTTGCAATGATAGATTTCCAGATCAATCGAGATGTATAGATGAAACAATATATTGCGTGACCACACAGTAGTCGTACGATGTAACCAATAACATATATACATTTCGATCTTAATTCATTCATCGTAATGCTCGAAGGGCACAACCGCGATATTTAGTTTCTCATAAGACGTATCGTTAGTGCTATTCTCACAAGACGTATTAAGGAAATGATTTATGATATGTTGTTTATAAATTTTTGTAAATTCTACGTAATCTTTAATTAATTTGTTGCTGTCGATTAATTTTTTAAAATTTCTCACTGTGGATTATTTTTCAAGTATTAAGCTAATAAGAAATTAATAACACATCAAACGTTCCGTAACTAGAAATCGCAAATTGTTATTTGTAGAACAAATAATCAATCTTTTACAAAAAAATTCGATTAAAGACCTTATCAGTGAAAAAATGGTATTTGCATTTGCTTGTGCAAACTTCAATGTTTATATGTTATTTTCACACAATGATAAGATATTTTTCATTAATCCTTGTAATAAACATTATTTTTATCTGATAAAGGAGTTAAATGAACATGAAAGACAGATTCCATTAATTATATCTCTATTATATCAATATGACCGTAAATTTACCTTTTATGAAGCTGTAATAACTATGCTGCAATTTGAATAAATTAATTTTTAAATGCTAATCAATATACTGATCAATGGGAACTAGCGCTATACAAGTATAAATATATACATATGTGCGTGTGTGTGTTATTTTTGATGTTACAAATGTCAAAGTAACCAAGATGGTTATTACTGATCGTTCAAATCAAGATTTTGTCAAGAGGACCGCTGAAACATTGAATATCTCCTGTTGCATGCAACACGTAAGGTTATGAATTATTAGTTTGCGAGAATATCTATTATGCTAAAATGTTCTACTAACCTATTTCTGTCGATAGAAGCAATGTCTATATCTGTATATACATATTCGTTTGATATCCTTTATACTTGATTAACGATGTTCGATGAACTCTATTTCAATAAAAAAGAGATGAATAAATACATATTTCTCTGCGTTTTAAGTTATTATTTCTTTTAAATGAAATGAAATGAACTTTATGCAAGTCATTATTCCCATTTACAATCGAACAAAAGAGATACTCTTCTTTAATTATCTATCTTGCGTTTAATTATTAATAAAAGTTAAGTATATTAACGATGTTATCAAGTTCAAAATTTATAGAACCTAGGTTATATCTGATCTGTAGAATTATTAACTTTACACTGTCACAACATGTAGAACAACAACTTCCCAACTTCGATAAAAAGAATAAATTAATTTTAGTTTTTTGTTTTATTCTTTATGTATTCCATAGTTCTAAAATTGCTAACGACGAAGTAAATGTCTATTAGAAAATAAATAGTACAAACAAGTGCAACAATGTGATAATTAACATAATGTGATAATTAACACGAGTTTATTCTGTTTAATAGATTTGTTATTTATTATTGTACGTTTCTTGAACTATGCGACTACATATGCATTTAATTGTAAAAATGCACGATGTTAACGTAATATTTGCCATCAAGCGATGTACAAATGCCAGTATCGTCGTTTAAAATTGGTGGTGCATTCGTTTTATGCCAGAATTTTGAAATGCACGGTGTCTTTCTTACGTTTAACCTTGATTCTAAAATTTACATTTCGTGAAATGCACGCGGCTCGTAAATGTTTAACAAGAATTCAGGGATTTTCTTTTGCCGTTTTCAATACTCTCTAGTAATTTTCCGATCGCTTTCGAGGAGAATACATTGAAATGAACGGCTTCACGCTGTGCGGCACACCCATGACGTTTAGATTGAAAGGAAGCCATGAAGTCAATTAAGTGTATTAATTATTCTTGTGAAGAGCCGATGAATGTTATTTCAAAGTAAATATTTCAAAATAAAGTAAAAATGTTTTCATACATTTATTTTATTTATTTCACAAGAAGACGTTATCAATTAAATAATTGGATTCGTTAAGCGTGCATGCTCATATATACATATATATATATATCAATTTGCATCAAAATTATTTATGATTTTTCATTAAATAAAATGTTATCTAAAATTAAATTTATGGTACTTTCGATCAACTAATCATTCGATAGATTTTGCGTATCTAACAATTAATCAGTATCTACTATTGATGATTCAGACATCATACAATAATAAGTCGTAGTGAAAGTATAATCAATTTCCACGTGTACTTAAATATAAAAATTTATTTTTATATTTTTGTTTCTTCCTGTTATGACAGTCTACGGGTTTTAATATTTGCAACGCTCAACATGAATTTTTAAATACCATGTGACATTGCCAACTACGTATTTCAGGCACCTTCAAGGATACCTTCTATAAATCATGATTCATTCTCGAGATGCTGTTTCCCCTCGTGACGGCCTTCCAACGCTATAATTTTCACTTCCGTTTCTTTATC